CGGCTTTAGAGAATGGGCTCGAATCACTGCTACTCTGATGAAGGCAGCGGTATTGAAACGTTGACCACAATAAAGTTCTTATGACAACACCTATGAGGAAACCATGCAAACGGCATTTTGAACGGGTCTGTTCCAGGTTAACTGAAAAACCTCCCTAACAGGGTTCATTGTTTTTTTGTGATTTAAACCAATTGCGCTGTGTGATTTACAGACCATTTCGCTTTGCGTCTAAAACGATGAAATAATAATGAGCATTTCAAGGTTAGCTACTCCTCAGTTTTTCCAAACACAACAGTTAATTGAGGGTCTTACAAACCATTCTCATCGAAACCAGTGAGAAAAGAAGCAGCAAATCACTGGTATCGTGTTATCGTTACCAAGGAAGGAGCAGCTCCATGAACACAATTGTGTCTATATTGATCTAACGGGTATGATTCTAACTTTCCAAAAACCTATAGAGACCTATATTATATAATATAAAAATATAAATATAAATAAACCTATATATAAAAAAATATATAAAAAAGATATAAAAACCTATATTGGGATCGGATACACTTCATATCGACACCATTACTTGTCTTGATATATGTAGGCTGGTTTCGGTGAGTAATCCGAGTCCCAGCAGATCTTTCATTCGTGTTTTCCTCTCTCAATAGACATCCGCAATGATGGTGGTCTGTTTGGAACACGGCAACTAGCGTTAGGCGCATTATTCAAACTATTAATGACTTCCATTTGCGCATATGGATGTGAGTCACAAACACGTTTATTCATCCTGTAGATGAGCGTTCCAAAGAACGTTTGTATCCTTTTATGATCAAATCATCAGTTGTTTTCGACCTGCTGTCAACTGTTCCTCTTTCGGTTTTTGTATGAGAGGCCCATTCATGTTTCGTTATGGCTATATACTTTTATAGAACTTGACGATAGAACGTTTTGAGGATCTGAGCTGCATGTTCTGGTTAGGAGTTGTCCGTGCCCGTTAAATTTCACAAGACACAACTGTAGAGCGATGGAGGTTGAGCAAAGATTTCTTAATGTGTTTAAAATATTCAGCCTTCGCCTGCGCTTTATAACTTAGGGACCACTAAATCACAGAGACAGTTTTGGATCTGTTAGTCGGCCATTGGTTCTCTGAGAGCCTGGGATGTAACTCATACTGCTATCTTCGTGCTGTTTAATTTCTCCTTAATGTTGTTTTCCATGTTGAGTGCACGCACAAAGTACGCACAGGGGGTGGCCTCTGCAATCAGAGAACTATACAATTCAATTCTTCGCTTTCGCACAGTGGGCTCTTCATGAACGGAGCCGTCACGCTATTTATAAGCACTTCAATCTTTTTTCCCTCCTCATTGAGCTCGTTGAACATAGTCTCTGTTTCACTGGTACTGTTCAAGAAGATAACAATGGCATCGAGAAAACGAAGGTTTGACAGGATTTCTCCCTAAATGTTTGCCTTTCTGGTTCCAGTGGACTTGCACTGCAGTGCGACTGCATACAACTTTGGCGAGATAAGGGATAAAGGGACAACTCGGCACTATTGATTCCTAAATGAGAATCAAGAAGACGTAAACTGAGCAAGGCGTAACTACTAGTGATAAATGAAGTTGTGACTTTATTGACAATAACAAATATCAACAACAAATAAATATCAATAACTTAGAAGAATGATTTCGTTGCCGGGAACCGAACTCGGGCCTTACGGGTGAGAGCCGTAAATCCAGACCACTAGACCGCAACGGACGACAACGAACGACAACCCCTGGTCCTGACATCGGCAGAGCACATCACAGACCTAAAGCTCTCGTCATTGATAAATCCCTGAGAGATTCGCCACGCATTCGACTTCATTAAGCATCGTTTGGTGGTGATTGAATGAATATCTGGTTCTTGAATATATACCATGTCTATACAGAACACTCGTGGTGGTCTAGTGAAATATTGAGCCAGTGCTGCTATCCTTCCAGACTTGTACCAATTTGCCGACCCGAAAGCTTGGTGCGCCACGGGAGCGAGGCTCGCCCTCATGAGCACTCACCCATTAACAACTTAATAGATATTAAATACTGAAAGCCCAGAGCTTTTCACTGAAGTGGATATACATCACGGGATTCGTGTCCTATGTGATATTTCATCGAGAAATCGAATAACGAGAGACAAGCAGATTTTCTTCTGCAGAGATCAGCCATTGCTTTTCGTCCTCTCCTACCGCACTATTTTTATTTGCTTTGATTATTTCGAATAGATATGAAACAGACTAAAATCCCTTTCTACGTTTGCTCAGCAAACACGAGGTGTTACTTTATTTCTTTATTTACGTACAAACTGACGAATCGGCGGATTTTGCCTTCCTCAGAGCCTGGAAAAGTCAAGAAAAGTCACTCACCGCTTTCTATGAGTATTCCAGTAAATATGTCACGTGGAGACCAACCGCTCAGAGTTCACACGGAATCGTATTGTGCCCATCTCATCAAAATAACAGGCTTGTATACTATCCAATATCACGCGTGATAATGAGGCATTCCTCCCTGCGGTTCATTTTCGGATTCTTGGAATTAATTCGGAATGGCTCTAGAATTTTGCGCGCTTGTGTTCTCTATTCTCGCGCGAGGATCGTAACCCCTACTTCAAAATCTTCTCCGTTATGTCTCTGTGTCCTAAGCGTGCCCAGTGGAGTATTTGGTTTACGTTTGCCGATTAGGTGTTCTTTTATAAAATCTCTTTGTTTCCACACACATTGACCATCTAGTCGTCTTCTGGACATGAAGTATAGGAATGGGCACGCTGCAAAACTAAACAGCTGTACTCTCAGCAATTTACTTTGGAGAGAAGGATTCTCTCATGCTTACGCAAAGCGGGATGGGTTGTACCTAAGATCTCTCACGGATTTATTTTTCACTGTAATTATGTCTACTTCAAAGATATAAAACGTAATCGATAGTGAAGGTAGACAAAATGTGAAGTATATCTGAGACTAAATGACATTTATACGTTTACATGAATCCTTGTGCAAGCTAACTCGTGCACTAGACTGATGAGAGGTCAATTGGGTCTACACCATAAACTAATAGTTGTGCTTAAACAAGTTCGAAATTGTGTTTTCTAAATTGAAACTTTATAAAGCGAGGCCAGCTCTCAATTAGACGATCAGAGTGTTCATTTAGACTATGTCGCAGAAGACTAGACGGTTCTGGCAAGTCACAAATGCTGAACAAGAGCAGTAATGGATTCGCGAGACGACACACGAAAGACAAAACAAGCTTCTCAACCGATTATAATCGCTCGTTGTGCGAGGAGCAATGGAGAATTTTTTTCTGCTTTTCCGACAAGCACAATTTAATGGAACCCTCAAGTACTCAGCGGAAACGAACAGTGGCATTATGGCGCTCGTTTTTCTCGGTGAACAGCGAGTGAGGTTAAAGGTCAGGGTCGGGAACAAAATCTCAACAGCAGCGCTTAAAAAAGAAGCAAATTGAACAAAACTCCAAAGAAATAGTGGAAGAAATTATCAGAATGTAAATAAGATTCTATAGATGGATAAAAATAGGCTCCATGTTCAACATTTTCATTCATTTGTGTAGACGACTCTATGATGCTTCATCCCTCAATGGTATTTACCCTTCATAAATCTCGTATCCTTCATAAAATGCAAATCCCTTTCTACGCCTGTTCAGCAAACACGAGGTGTTATTTTATTTCATTATTTACGTACAAGCTGACGTTTCGGCGGATTTCGCCTTCCCTGGAAAGGTCAAGTTGACAGCAATCTATTCGGCCTAATACCTCCATAACCAAACAGAGAAAACGCTAAACCAAGATTTCAATCACATTTAACACAGCTCTACACGCTCACCGCTTTCTATGGGTCTTCCAATTGAGTATGTCGCGTGAAAACCAACCGCACAGAATTCACATGGAAGCGTAATGTGCCCCTCGCATCAGAATAAATTCCTTTAGCAAATTCATAAAGGCTATGAAAGAGTTCGCCGACTCCATCCAAATGACCTGAGAGCGATATTCTTTCTGCAAGGATTTTTACCTCTGTGGAAAACTGGACCGGTTTTTGAATAAATAGGTTTAAGAACAACGTTTGAAAGTATTAGGATAACCAATGATCAGTTTCCCCGGTTTAAATCCTCTTCACCAAGCACCGTGAATAAATACATAATCTGGCTTACACAGTAGTTATGCCAATACTCCGATGTAGCAATTCAGTTTTCTTTTATCCGCTGAACGAAGCCCAGTGCAGAAAGGTGAGCCAGGCCCAGTTTGAGCTGGCATTAGGTCAAATCGAAGACTTTAGTGGTATTGCATGGATCAACTAATGATTTCTCCAATCTCGTACGAATATCGATATGCAGCATTTTTCTCTAGAAATAAGTAAGTGAATAGGATAAAAAAAATGTGAATGTTTTTGAAAAAGGAAAAAGGGAAGGTAGCCATTTGCATTTCACGGGCCACTTTTACATATTTTTGGATTAGTTCTCCTCATGGAAATGAACTAGCCGTAGGACCGCAAACTGAGTCACTAAGAGCATTTCATTAGGACCTATCGCGGATATTGATCTGCCTTACTTCAAATCGCAATATCGTGGAGTTTAAGTCAGTTGAACGAAATACGAAATCTGTTTTAACAATTCGACAAGCGAACGACCTCGTTCGCAAAGAAATGCGTAGGAATTATTTGGTGAAATGAAGCTTAATTCAAACTCAAAGTCAGATTTATCTCACTTTTGCATACAACAACAAATTCACTTTACTGTTGGAATAAAAGTAAAAGTGTTCGTAGAAGGGAAAGAGACCATCTAGAAGCAGCTAAGACCTGAACACTTGGACATTCTCGTCATTTCTTCATAAATTATCGAAATAACACATCTCAAGGTTGCTTCTCAAATAAAATACTTGCTGAAATTCTATCAGTTGTCGCTGCTGATTTGATATACCACGTTTGAACAGCACTGGCCACTTCTGCAACGGTGGTGGTAATGGTGATAATGTTAGTTAGTGGTCGCGGCGGTGTAGACAACTCGGCCCGCCTTCACCACATGCGAGATTACGGTGTCGTGAGCAGCCATGCTACAATCAGCCATTTTGTACAAACTTAGCTAAACACCAATCACGAGCATTTTCTTGGAATCGTTCAAAAAATTTAGAAACTTCAGATTTTAACTAAAGAAATAAGCAACAGTACTGAGTTATGAATGCGTCGTTTTCTTGTTCAGCAATCGCGAGGTTTTTAAACAGCATACATTTACTTNCTAGTACCAGTTTCCAGAATCGACTTTCTCTTAACCTCGGCATTGGAATATGAATGCGTCGTTTTCTTGTTCAGCAATCGCGAGGTTTTTAAACAGCATACATTTACTTGCATAGAAAAACACAATACAATACAACGCTAGCTGACGTTCCTGCAGTATCGCCTTCTTCAGAGCCGCTTTTTCGTGACCTCCAATGAGGAAGTTTAGAACAGCTGATTATAGTCGCATGTGGTTGACGACTGTCGTTGCTGAACACATTCGGAAGTAAATGTATGCTGTTTAAAAACCTCGCGATTGCTGAACAAGAAAACGACACATTCATATTCCAATGCCGAGGTTAAGAGAAAGTCGATTCTGGAAACTGGTACTAGGTTAGTCAATATCCTTTCGATTGCCGAATTCTATAAACGGATACAAATGTCCTACTGCGGTACTTATTACTCCTAAACATGAAAACTTGTTTCGGGCTGAATAAATTACGAAGCGGCTATGGAGCTGATGAGTTTAATGTTAATTTCTCCGCAGATTAACTAGATTTACTTACTAGATTATCTATCCAAAAATTAATTTCAACCCTGATATTAGCAAGACTAGAGAAGTAACCGAAGACAAATTTTTGAGCACTGGAATAAGGACTGCAACACTTATCGAAACATGACGCGAAGAACAGCAAATATTATCTTAAGCGATGGATCTTTAAACCGTTCACATGACTTCTATAAAGACGTTTACTTAAAAAAATCTTTTATGGCCTCGACACATCGTTCCTCACGCTGGAAAAATTATTTTCAACTTGGTGAATATGTTTGGCGAAGCTTTTCTCACGAACAAACATAAAGGCGTACCGATAGATGATATGCTTCCAAGAGGTGACATCTCCGCCTAGGACGACAAAATCGCCTCGTCTACCAACGCTGATCGCACCATGGGTTTGTCCTCGACCGAGAGAATACGATGCGTGCAGGGTGGCCGCTGTCAGCGCTTCTTCCATACTCAGACCAAAGTATACACAAGCTATAAAACAGTTGAAGTGAAGAAAGAAAAAAACACCTCTGCATCTCTACACTATGATAATGCGAACCGTTCCATTTGCCACCACCTACTCTTTGTTTTCTTAGTGGTACATTCTAACCAAAAAGCATTACCAGTGTAGTCCATCGGGAAGTTCACTTGGGATTTATCATCAACTAAATGTCTCTGTCAAACCGGAATTTCTGGCTGGACAACTCCTTATATCCCTAATACTGTCTTTCATAAATAAATGACCAATTTCGCTTTATTAACCTTTTCACAGAAACCATTATAACCACTGTTTGTTTGTGATCATGATGAAGAAGAACCTTTGAAGTTCTCGGCGTTGATCAAACCATGAGGGATGCGCCATGCATTCAATTTCATTGGGCAACGTTTGGAGGCAATTGAATGTATATCTGGCCTTTACAATGACTCGCGCTAGCCTACCTACCGATGTATGGAGTCAGTGCTACTATCCTCCTAGACAAGCCTGGTATCAATCTGCCGACCCCGGAGGGATGTAAGGCTTGGTCGGCCATGGGCGCGGGGAACGATTCCACGTGTGTGCTGCAGGGCGCCTCTGAGCACTGAGCCACACGCGCTCTTATGAGCATGAGAAGAGTTTATTGCAAAAAAGTGTTTTTTTTCTTAAAGAACAAAAAAGAGACTGGTAAATGTCTACCTAGATGCATTATCATTGGCATTGATAAGCAGTATGCATTTGGATTGAAATCGGATCCCAACGCGACGATCACGCCTGAATAAGAATCCTATAGACGAGGTGATGCAGTTCGTTTTTCACTGTGTTCAGTTTGCGATCGGTCTCGATGATAACATTTGCGACCTCAGCCCCGCAGATCCAACATTCATAGCGACCTTTCATTTTGTGTTCAACATCATTCTGTCAACCATCTCAATCGTCAAATTTCTTCACAAAAACAAATTCTAAGAAAGAAAATGTGATCGGAGCAAATCTACTTTATCGGCTAAGATAGAAGCTATACTTCGTAAGAAGCATATGATTCATGATTAAATAGCATCGATTAATCACCTTCATTGCTCCAATCCGCAATCACTCTGTTCCGTCTAAACCGATCAACTACACGCAGGAAATTTTTCTATAGTTGTGGTTTCCAATGACGTTTTGAGAACTCATTACTGATTTTACCTTACATGCTCTTGAACTGGTTGGGCTGTAATATTACTATTAATAAACTGATATTCCGGTTGAGATATTTGCAAAACTCCTGACTAAAGGAGTCTGTGGTGGAGGGTCGAACCCCTTATTACTCTTTACGGGACCTAATGTGTTCATCACCACACCATGTGGGTCTTTCGTTTCGCCTGTCTATCAGCTAGTTTTATCGATCAGTGCCATCAGCAATCATCCCTCCACGGAATTGATCTGGGGAACCCAAATCTGCATTGAACTTTGAACGCGTTCGTTCCCCACCGCAGACACCTGCGGTATGGAGTTTTGCAAACATCTCAGCATCATTGTGATTGTATCACACATAATACCCTACCGTGAAAAGTTGCAATAGGCAGTAAATAAAAAGTTAACATTAATACTCCGGTCTTCTTTGTTATACTTAAACGAATACTTAGATGTTGCGTCTTCAAGACGAGTCCCGGCATTTATCCAACTTTACTAATGATTTGTCTAATACGCAAGATTTTCTTTTTCAGGAACCTCGAAAAATGCCCTGCAGCTTGACAGCAGAGTCACTGCTTACTGGTTAGTGACCGTATTGTTGCCATTGCGTCAGTGCTACGTGACATTAATTTGCTTTTAGCTAGGCTTTCTGACAGAAATTTCGGAAACCCTTTTATTTTCGTTGACCCTGTTAGGTGACGAATTTCCGATGCTCAACACTAACGAACATCTTGACAACCACTGAGGCAGGAAACTATTGGTGTTACTTGATACTTCATACTTGAACGACCCGTCATCACTAGTTGTGCGGACGGACCTGAGCATAATCACCGTTGTCCGGAGATTTGTTGGTTGAGCCGTTGTGGTTTCCTGGAATCCCGAGGACAGCCTGGCTAAAGTCTGCTCCAGGTCGTCACCACAACGGGCAGTCGCAGCCCTTGTGGATCAGAGGGAGATTTACCACCATGTGACCTTGATACCAAGACGGTGGTGGCTCCTGGTAATGGTTTGCTCTTAGCTAGGCTTCCTGGTGGAAACTCTTTCTCAGATTGAGAGACCCTGCCAGGAGATGAATCCCCCGCTGTACATCGCAGTCCGACATCCAGGAACACCTCCCAGCCACGATGAGACGGTAAACTGCTGGAAGAAACTATTGGTGTTAATGGAATAAATTAGAAGGTGATTCTATAAACACCTCTGAAGAAAATGTTTCGTATCCAGCTTTTTTCTTGCATTTCTTGCGTTATTTTAACACAAGATTGTGCCCATAAACCTAAAAAGCACCCTCTATACCCAGGATTTCTTCAAAAGACGTAGTAGAAATGACCTATCTGAGGCTTATACCTTCCTTTTGGTCTCGTTTTATAAAGGAAGAGCGCGTGTGGCGCAGTGGTCGGAAGTGCTCTACAACACACGTGGAGTCGAACCCAGCGCCCATGGCCCACCAAGCCTTCCATTCCTCTGGGGTCGGCCAATTGGTACCAGACTTGTCTGGGATGATAGCATCACTGGCTCGATACATCGGTAAGCCACCGTGAGCCATTGTACAGGCCAGATATGCACTCAATTACCTCCAAACGATGTTTAATGAAGTCAAATGCATGGCGCATCCCTCAGCGATTGATGAACTCCGAGAGCTTTATCCTTTATCCTTTTATGAAATCAACTAAAATGCGCAATTGAGCTGTGCAAGAGTTTCTTTGAAAAGCTCTACTACATGCGTAAGGTGGCCGAATCATACCCTTGTTTATCCTTAATGGAAACGAGTTCGCTAGCAGTTCATTGGCTACGGGTCACAGTGATTCGACCTCGATTCATTTACGATGTTATGCGAACATTTTATCGCACCTACGTTATAACTTCACCACGTCAAGAGCCTGTGTATCCAATTGCTGTGTTAAACAATCCTGTCATCTTCTTGACAAATTCACTCATCAAAGCGAGAAGGGGTTCGAGATTCCCACACGGAATCATATCCTACTGGAAGCTACTAATGATCTCCTATTCACAGAGGGTGAAAATTGTCTATGGCGACGATTGGAGAGCATCGTAGCACGATTGTCGTAGGAAGGAAAGAAACAATAACTATTAGAAATATCTTAAACTCAACTGGAAAAATACCAATTAAATAGAGATTTCGCAAGTGATTAGAGGACTCTTCGTGGAGGCGGACGCGTCTCAACAATTAGCATTCTCACGACGTCACCGATAACACATTTATATAAGTGGAAAAATGTGTGAGTCGATCAGCACTGAGAAGTTGTTAGCAGCAGTCATTTTCTACGCATAGACATTGAATGATCAAAAGCTCGAGAATATACGTTGGTCTGTACAGACTACAAATAAGAGTACAGCTGACGGGCAGTCTAAACGTAAGTTAGTGTCTTGTAGCTAGCATTCGAGTACTCATCACATCACTGGACCTGATAGGAAGCAGGTTATAGTTGACCTAAGATAGAAGGTGAAGCAGACGGTGTTTGAGGAGATGGGGCTCATTTCTAGCACATTATTAGTCAAGTGCACGGTATCAATACGGAAAGAATGATGTTTGTTGGAAGGTTTTCATGTTGCCTCGGCAATCCGAGATCTAAGTTTAATTGGTACGCAAGATCGTTCTTCGGATCTTTGCTCAAAAATTCTCAAAAATCACAGAATAGTATATTCTCGGCCTGCAACCCAACGAAATTCCGGTAATTCACGGTAATTAAAAAATCATGAAGAAGGTAAGACAGTGGCAGTGGTTTGTCTAACACGAGTACGGTGACAGTCACCTCCAGGCTCATGAAGTTTTCATCCCTTTAGGATCGGAAAATCGGCAGGAAATTCGTCTTGGAGCACCTTACTCCTTCCAATCTAAGTGGCGATATTCTAGCCTGGATATTCCAAGACTCGAGGAAGAACCGACTCAACCAAACGTCCACTGACGTTCATAGACAAGACGAAAATCCTGAAACACCAGCCGAAGCCATGCACGAAAGGTAATAAGACCTGATACAAGCGAGAAAGTAAGTTGAATGAAAGAAGTGCTCGGAACCACACAGTGGACATAAAAACGGGTCGCATGAAAAAGTAGAAAAATGTAGACATCATGAAAAGTTTGATGTCGGACTTTCGTCGGCTTAGCAAGAAGAAACCCCCAAATATTCGGTAGTCTCCACGAGGGTCATCTTGTAAAGCATACATATCGAACTCTGACCAAGCGATCGCTGCGTTTTTCACACATAGTCGAGAAAATAGTAGCACTTACCTAAGTACAACGGGAGACAATAAGTCAAATATTCGTTCAATTTCTAGCGTATCCCTAAGCGATTCCCCCTTCACAGTTACTTGATTGCAGCCTTTCACTCAAATCAGTGGACCGAAAGCAAACTAAGTGCACTCATCTATAAATTCCTACGTTCGTGAGAATGATATACTTCCATCAGTAACCACAAACACAGCAAGTTCAACAATCTATGTCTCATGGAGAGCACATGATGGACACGTAACACGTGAGAACGAGCCATGTCGCTATGCAACTAAAGAGTTTGAGGCAATTCATAGGAAGGAAATATTTTAGCGATGTATACCCCCACATCTGCGTACCCGCACACATAAGTACGTACTCACACAGTGATACAAGTACACACACAGGCACGCACGCACACATACACACGCACACATGCACACACATAAGTGGTATACCGACATAAACATTAAACACTAGCAGTAATCATAATGTTCACATTTCATTTAATGCTTACTATAATTTTTCACGACATGGTATAATGTGGAATGTAACCACAGTGATACTGGGATATTCGCAGAACTTGGACCCCAGGTCACATCGAACCACCATCACCCTTTCCGGAACATCGATCTAATCCGGGATACACGTTTTACGAATATCTCAACACCATTGTGGTTGCATAAGCAGTAATTTCAATGACTTCGTAAAGGCAAGATAACGAATTTAGGGCGCGTTTAATGAGCCCAGTATTGTCTTCCAACTGTTATCCTTTAAAAAATTATTACCACTTGTGATCATTTTTCTGGCAGGCGGCGGAGGTAGGCGAAGAATCAAAGCTGTCGAAGGCAATAAAACAGCACATGATTTGGATTCGGCCATTGCACGGATGCCCTCCGGTGAAACCTTCTCCAGATGAGACATTGCGCGCGCCTGGACGGAACAGAATTAGTTGATAGGGCTATATTCCAATCTGAATGATATTTTAAGGAAGTGCCAATAAGTAATCGATATTACTGCTGGATAATCCATATTTAATGGATGGCCCGTTTTCACGGAAAATTCTGTGCTTTTCACCGATATGTTGCTGCTTTGCTGAAATCACATCCTAGTGCCTTGGTTGTGACCACAACATTTGTTGAATCATGGTGGATCGGAGGAAGGCTTATCACCTAATTCTGCTTCGGAATATTGGCAAGACATGAAATTGATTCAGTGTTAGTTTACTTTGCGAATGAAAATGTGGTTGATTCTGTTTCCTGAGTAGACGTGATTCTGCTACAAGGTTCAGCCACAAACCTATCTTAGCATGTGAATGGTTCGATGATTGGCTTATTTGGACCTTCGAGGTTCACTGGCCAAATTGGACGGAAATCGAGAGACGTAACCAACCAAAACAACCAACGCACCTTGAAAATGCTCTCATTCATGTCCTTTCCTATATTATTGAGTGCTTCAACTAGAGAAAGAAACAAGGGAATAGATAAAGGATAACTTACTATAGAATAATTCTTATTAATTCTTGCTGCCGCTTAATAAAAAGCGAGAGTCTTGTCCCCATTTCTTTTTGAATCAATGTTTTTTGCACAAAAAGTATAATCTAAGTAGGAAGGAAAAACTGGAAAAGACGGTGAAAAGAATTGAAAATTTGAAAGTGGTCTGGTTTCCTAAACTAATCAGCTGGATGATCTAACTGAACTTACACCGATGGCAGCTCCCATTTCGGCTCCACCAATATACGACAGTTCCTCAGCGTGGAAGTTTGCTTCCAGCCCTATTTGCTTTCCGGCCTTCAAAATTTTGCTCCTAAATTTTTGAAATATAAAGAATTGTCATGATGAATCGGTAGCATACAATGTTTCATTTTCAGTTTCTCTTCTTGCTTTCCATTTACTCCCCCAAATTCATTTGTCTGCAAGTACAAAGGTAAACAAGGGTAAAGAAAAATGCACACGCTGCTTAGTGTTCATCCCTTGGAGATGCGCCATGCATTCTATTCCATGTGTAGCACCAATAATTGATTAGATACGTATCTAGTCTATATTATGGTTTACGATGGGGTACCCATGCTCTCGGTGTTCCTTATCTTCTAGAAAGTTCCGATACTTTGTCGTGCTTAGTAGATCAAATCAGCACAAGGTACCCAACCAAAGAATATGTGTGTATTGCTGCGCATCTTTAATCACTACTCTGTCCCACTGCAGCTAATGTGAAGCTGATATGTACAGTAACTTGTGGAAGACGACTGCCATAAATTCCAGAGTGTTCTTTTTAATCGAGAACTTCTTAGCAATTCATTTACCACAGCGGTAATGGTTTGGTTGTGATGTCGTTACATTATATAAAATCAGTAACTATACTATTGCTGTATACATACACATATACACACGTGTATACACATATATGCATACACATATATACATAAAGAAAAACAGGTCTTCGGCCACCAAACTAAAAAATTCGGAAGGTACTAGTGCATTGTGGATCGGTCGACCTCAGCATTTCGCATAACATAACATACACCGCATTCAACATCCTACAAAATGAGCAGAAGGAGAAATGAGATGCAATCCAAGAAATCTCATTGAGGAACTTACGCATTCTGCACTTCGATAACGTTCTTTTCGCAGAATACGTCGATATTCTCGAGATTTTTTAGAAGACCGGTTTGTCTGGCCTTCTCGATCGCCGGCAGCATTTCTTCACAGATCAGTTTCACGTGCTGTTCCTCAGTAGAACCCTAGAAAATCTATAATCGAGAAGTCTCGGTTTCTATTCATTCGTATAAAACTTAAAAGAAATGATCGGTACAGATTTTCTGCTTCACCACGTTCTTCAAAAAGCTTGTTTTTATAAAGTGTGTTCTTAGTATGAGTAGAAAAGTACAAATTGAAAAGAGATGGCGAATAAGTTAAACAAAGCAGCTTGTAGAACGGTTCCATGGTACAGCCACGCTGTATATAAGCGAAATAATCACTAACTTAACTATTGATCTGGGGGCTTAGAAATGGAAAGATATGGCGTGGATACCTTCGGAACAGCATGAGCTCCACAAAACGTGGCCGAAATCTCCACCTCTACCTCATCGTTGACGCTAGATAGAACGCGCAGCATCTGAAAGCACTGTTGATGAGTACGAAATAGAGATAAAATTCTCGTTAGGTCGGAATTTTATGAGACCCACAATATTAGAGTCTAAAATTTTCAAATTTTGGGCACCATTATTTTGTGGACCTCAAGTGTCATATTAAAAAACGGATCATCCTCTTAGATTTGTGAAAAAGACTTTAGTGAAAACTGCACGATGAAACTGCCACCTCTCTGCTCTTACAAAATATGTCTGAAGTGCTTTTCAGAAAACGAAATTGGTTCACATACTAATAATTGGATACTTTGTTATGCTTTACAACATTTATAGTTTAGATGATTTAAAGTTGACAACGTATTATCACGAACGCAGGGGGAACCATCCACAAAGCTGTGATTGGTCGCCAACACTTTGTACACGCCCACTAGAACAGCAACCAATCACAGAATAAAGGTCAAGGGCAGGCCAAACTGCACAACCTGTTGAGCTGCAGCCAAAGGGCTGAATCTAGCATGTGGCCTTATGAATTACTCTACTAATTAGTTCTAATGTAGAAAAGAATAACAACAGCTCGCTATTCCAATTTTCTTCTGCTCGGAATGGTCACTAACTCTTCGTTTATCAAAAGATCTACCTTCAGCTCGCTTTCTGTGTCCAGTCCATACCCGCTCTTTGCCTCCAGTGTTGTGGTACCGTTTCGGAGCATTACATTGGCGATCTAGAACCAAGGGAAGGCTATATTTTCGCTAGTTCAACTCCACCAACAATTATGCAATCAAAACCTTCTGTCGACGAAGTATGAATTACGATTAACATTAGAAAAATTATTGAACAAAAATCAGATCTCAAAATCAGACATCAGCGCGTAAAACTTGAAGCGTTTTGGATCAATTCCAAAAATTCAAAAATGAACCGCAAGGAGGAGTGTCTTGTCATCGTGTGTAAGCTGGCGGCATACCTCAGGCTGATCCAATGGCCTGACACAGGCACAGCCCTATCCCATGTATTATCTGTGCGGCTGCTATCCATCAACTAACTTAAATACTTACAACAAATAAACGATAGGTGTTTAAATGAAGCTGTTTCTTATGCGAATGCAAATTTATTTGTTAGGCTTTATCTGCCAGAGTTATGAAACTGTTTAGTTAGGTAGATTGCATCTCAACTTGATCTTTCCAGGCTCTGAAGAAGGCGAAACCGCCGAAATGTCAGCTATTGTGTCCTCATAAATTCTATAATAACAACCTCTTGTCTGCTTATCGAAGAAAAACATCAAAAAATCAGATCTGTTCTGCAAGTGGTTTACGATAAACGAAACGAGCTAATAATTTGGGAGATAAAATCATTGTACTAACTTTTTTGAATTCTTCTTTAAGATACTCTTCAGATGCTTCACGAGTTTTCGCTGTCGTGAAGTGAATTCCACCTCCAGCAGCTTGCACCTGTAATGTTTGGAATAAGTTAATATTTAGCAGCCAGAATAATGTTTTCAAATTAGTCTCTTGTCCTTTACGGACGAATGAGGGTGTAATGGATTCGTCTTGGAAGGAAGAGATGGGTGGTTCGTTGATTGGCCTTCTGCAATGATTTTTCTGGTTGAATCCTCAGTAGTTGGTTTAGGGAATTCGTGCATTTATCAATAGTTCGAGTCAAAGGCTATGTTTTATCGAGAGTAGTTATCTCGTTGACTTGACTTATCGATTGACGAATTATTCGTTAAATGAACTAAGTAAAGTTGGATGTAGTTCTTGTTATCCTGCCCTACTACATTTATATATCTGGTCGCATCGAACTGGTTTCAGCGGCGAAAGAAAAGCTCTGACACCTCTTTTCCGACTTTGAATGCGCTTGATTGACATTGCAAGAAATCTCCCAGACAAGGCGAAATCTTATAGACAAGGCGATTCGTCAGTAAAAGGGACCAGATGGTTCGCTTAAAATCTTTGCTATTTATTTTGCTTTTCTGGGTTCAGGCAGAAAGCAAAGTACTTACTTTATTATATTATGGATTTAGTTAGCAAGATTTAAACCTGCCAAAAGGGGATATCTTGTCACTGTTGAAAGATTTTACTAAGAAAGTGATATAAACGGAAACACAGATTAACACCTAGAGTGCAACGCCTTAATGCGTGTGGTTACTGCATCTACTTGACATCTCACATTATTAGTGAATATTAACTCTCACAAACCGAAATGCCACATACGAGTGGAAATCCACACTCGCCGATCTCTAAGTGTTGAAGATAAACAGGACAAAGCATTTGGTGTTAACCAATTCTTGAGGAATGAGCCATGCATTCCACTTCATTATGCACCTCTAGAGGTGATTGAATGCGTTTCTCGCCTATACACCGAATTGCGGTGGCCAGCAGATGTTTCACTTTAGTCTTCTATTATTCCAGACAGGCCTGGTACTAATTTTCTGACCCTGGATGGCTTGCAAGGCCTGTGGCGCGGGACCAAACCAATAACCGTGTGTATTTCAGAGCATCTCTAGCCAATTAGCCAAATGCGTCCTTCTCTAAGTGTTAATATAAAGGGATCCAAAATATGCAGAAATGCAAACACATGGAATAAGGCACAGTTAGTAGTTATCGATTTTTGAGAGCACTATGGGTTATTATTGCAGTTAAACAAAGTTACAGTTCGATCACTTTGCGCATGTAGTAGAGCTTTTCAAAGAAACTTTTGGTTCAGCTCAATTGCACATTTTAGTTGACTTCATAAAAGGATAAAGGATAAAGCTCTCGGAGTTCATCAATAGATGAGGGATGCGCCATGTATTTGACTTCATTAAGCATCGTTTGGAGGTAATTGAGTGCATATCTGGCCTGTACAATGGCTCACGGTGGATTACCGATGTATCGAGCCAGTGATGCTATCAACCCAGACAAGTCTGGCACCAATTGACCGACCCCAGAGGAATGGAAGGCTTGGTGGGCCATGGGCGCTGGGTTCGACTCCACGTGTGTTGCAGAGCACTTCCGACCACTGCGCCACACGCGCTCTTCCTTTATAAAACGAGACCAAAAGGAAGGTATAAGCCTCAGATAGGTCATTTCTATTATGTCTTTTGAAGAAATCCTGGGTATAGAGGGTGCTTTTTAGGCTTATGGGCACAATCTTGTGTTAAAATAACGCAAGAAATGCAAGAAAAAAGCTGGATACGAAACATTTTCTTCAGAGGTGTTTATAGAGTCACCTTCTAATTTATTCCATTAACACCAATAGTTTCTCCCAACAGTTTACCGTCTCATCGTGGCTGGAAGGTGTTCCTGGGTGTCGGACTGCGATGTACAGCGGAGAGATTCATCCTCCAGCAGCGTCTTCCAAGCTGAAAAGAAGTCCAGCGTTTCCGTCAGCAACCCCAGCTAAGAATACACTAACATCGGGATCCACCATCGTCCTGGTATCAAACTAACTGCATGGCGGGTAATTCTCCCTGTGATTCACAAAGGCGGCGACTGCCTATGGTGGTGACGACCTGGGACGGACTATGGCTACGCTGACCTCGGGAAGCAAATGAGCTACAATAGTTAAACCAGCAAAACTCCAAAAAAAAATGCAAATTACGCTGGAGCCCGCACAGCCAGTAAGGATGGGCCAACCAAGCATCCAAGTGAGTAAGCAATAACTAAGCAGAATATTAAGCTAAAGTTCAACTTTCGGAAGCTTGAACAACACATTATTTCTTTGCACTACTCGGCACCATGTGCTTCTATTAGAAGACGGCTCAAGACCGACTTTCATTAAATCTCGGCAACAATGGTCGACAGTTTTCTACATAACTGACCTGACATGAGGTCGGTGCAAAAGTTTTATTTGGCTAAGATTTTGGCCCGTTCGCTTTCTTCAGAACGCTGTTGATCCAAGCCAGTGGTCCAGTCGTTTTCGCGATGATCGTTGTCACATTGTTAGCAACGGAAACGTTAGCCAATTAAAAGTTTTTATACTAACCTCGTAACAGCTAAATCGTGTAGAAAACTATTAGAAAGGAGTTCGGACTATTGCAAACAAATTATGGCGGAATTCAGACTTTCACATGAATATATGACCATAATGACTCTATGGATGTAAAAACTGTGCAAAAGGTGAAGCGTTGAATCGTTCGGCGTTGGTTAATCTTTTAAGGAGACGCTATGCATCCGACTCTATTGGTAACATGGTAGAGGTGATAGAATGTATACTTAGCCTATGCAACAATGACTCGCGGTGGCCTATAGATGTATTATTCAGTGTTTTATCCTTGCAGACAGGCTTGGCGTCAATTTGCAGATCCCAAAAGGATGAGGGAGTTTGTTTGCGTGGGAACCGCAATCAAATCCTCTATGTGTAAATCACTAACCACTATACTACATGTGCTCAAAAAAGTGCATATCAAATTCGCTTACGTACATCTAAACAAAAAGTTCACCGAACCTCCATATATGTAGCTCCGGCGAGTTTCATAGCGAACTCATGCACTCGGTCACCGGCGAAAACTGGATGAGAGTGACCATCAACGAATCCCGGCAAAAGAATACCTGAGACATGATCGAAATTGTTTGTGAATCAACAAGGCGCAGAAAGACGCAGTGCACACGCGTCCAGTTTAATGTATAGCAAGTATTTCATATAATATCTTGCCATGAAAAGGATAAGGATAACGGGCAGTAGGCAAAAGTTAAAGAATACATGGGATAAAACAATATTGTAATAACAACGAAGGACCCACATGGTGTGGTGGTGAACGCGTTAGCCCACGGGAAGGGTAATAGCGCGTTCGTTCCTCAACACAGACAGCTGCGGTATGGAGTTTTGCAAATATCTCAGCATCACTGTGGTTGTATCACACATAATACCCCATTGTAAAAACTGTAGTAGGTAGTAAATAAAAAGTTAACATTGTGATTTTCAACTACAGCCTCAGCTTAACTGGGTTCAATGCCGATTTAGCCTCCTCAGACCAATCCCGGTGACGGGTGATTGTTCGTGTCACTGTTCGATAAAAAATTACTTGAGAGACAGGCGAAACGAAGGACCCGCATGGTGTGAAGGTGAGTGCATTAGGCCGCGAAATGGGTAACAGCGCGTTCGTTCCTCACCTCAGACACCTGCTGTCCGGAGTTTTGCAAATACCTTAGCATTATTGTGATAACATATGCGATAGTTTCATGAAGAGTCGCCAAGCAACGAATGGTTAACACAGGGTACGTTTCCACATGTGGGCAATATTAAAAGATCAAAAAAGGATTGGCTGAAGATTTTCAAATGCATTTATATTACAGAATAATGTGCGTCAAGCTAAAAAAAAAACACCTCCATCTGTAGCCAACGTTTCCTCTACATCATCTCCACCCAGAACCTCTCGAACCTAAAATATCGAATATCCTTATCGCAGATTACAACGGCTTAAAAGTTTTTTCATCAAGTTACTGTAAAGGTGCTCAAGAAGGCGTTAATCGGTTAACTAGAGGCCCTTTAATTATGATTAAGGTGGCAGGGCATGGTACCTCAAGTCTTTTAACATTTACAGGGTTAGTTGTGCGTAATGGGGTCTAGCGAAGTCGTGTAACAAAATATTTTCTTCTTGAATTTACGAGTCTCTTGAGATGCTCTTATTATTGCTTGCAAGAAAGATATAGAAAGTCGTATTGCTTACGTCTTTCTCTTTTCCGACTGCTGCAATATTACCATTCCTTGCTACCAATACCGCCAAACCGTTGCCGGGATCACTAAGCACCTGATAAGCTGTGCATTAATTTCCGTCCCAACAGACTACAGATCGTAATGAATGTTGAGAAAAATATAACTCGTGTATAATGCTGAGATATTTGCAAAACTCCGGACCGCAGGTGTATGCGGTGGGGAACGAACCTGTGCTGTTGTCCTTACCGGTAAGGAAGGTAAGGAAGCACGGGTTCGTTCCCCACCGCATACAGCTGCGGTCCGGAGTTTTGCAAATATCTCAGCATTATATACGAGTTACATTTCGCAACATACTCTGCCATTAAAAAGAAAAAGGCAGTAAATAAAAGGGTTGAGGTTGAGAAAAATGTTCTGTTGCGTTTTCTAGCGAGGAATAGAAATTAGTCGGCCATTAAATTGATGAAAGATGTTGTCATTTCAAAATGAATACCTTGATCTTAGCCATATCAGCTCCTCTAAGGTACTTCACGCAACTCTCATCAGTAATTTGGACGATTTCCTTTAGTTGATATACCAGGAGACGGTACATTGCTTCTTGAAATTGACCATATTTTTACGAGTGCAGTAAAAATAGCTGTACAGCAAACGATGAAATTCATCACGAGATTTTTGTATGAATCAATGAAGACAGGGAAAAACCGAAACACAGTCAAAATTTAGGTTCTTGATGAGTTTTGTTGACCGGTACTTGTCGAGTAATGCGCAATAAAGTTTTATCGGCGGCCGGCGAATGCCTTTGAAAGCCAATGAAGGCCGTAATGTATCAAGGCGAGTCCGCCAGTGTCATCACTAATCAATGGTAATCGCAGAGATAGCGCAAAGAATAGAAAGTCGGTGACACACTATATAATGCCCTAGAGCAACCTTAAAATTACATATAAGAAACGATGTACAGTGCGTTCAACGTTAATCTACCCCTTAGGTAGGTGTCATGCACTCTGCTATTACATTCGTGGCATCATAGAGGTAATTGAATGCATATTGATCAAATACAATGACTTGAAGTGGCCTATCGCTCTCTCAGGTGATTATTTCAAACTCAAAGGCAAACATGGCAGCAAAGGATGATCGGATTGCTTGGACTGCTGTGAAAGTGTTCCTAACCACTGCGCTACATACTCCCCCAAAAACGTCATATACACTGAGATTCGTTGAATACGTTTAAAATGATAGGGTTTCATGTTCGAAGTCTCTCAATTCCTGCAATTTTAGTTGTGCGGATATGTCGTTGAGCGTGATGGTCTAATATAGCATGTTACATATGCTTTTTGTCTAATGTTTTAATTTTGTCACACTGAACGGTTATTTTGTTGTTTATATATTTTATCGCTTGAATTTTTTCTTCAATATTACACTAAGTTGCCAGACACAGTGTAAATGACGACAACTAAGAAAGAAATCGCTCCAGGTTCAAATTCCAGTTTTGGACCCAACGAACTACCCAGTACTTCAGAGCCGATGAATCGGTTACGAACTTGGTCGTAAAGAATACAACATCGCTTAATCATCAATTGCTTCAGAAAACTAATCGTATAGGCTACATCTGCGTTTTCATCTCTGATTACTTCTATAGCAAGCATTCTTTGCAGAATTAGATGGCTTCAACGCATAAAGATAATAAAAGGATACAGCTCTCGGAGTTGATCAATCCCTGAGAGATGCGCCATGCTTCGACTTTATTAAGCATTGTTTGGAGGTAACTGGATGCATATTTGGCTTTTACAATGATGTGGCCTAGCGATGGATCTAGCCTCTGCTGCTATCCTCCCAGACAAGTTTCGTAGCAATTTGCCGACCCCGGAGGGATGAAAGGCATGGTGGACCATGGGCGCAGGGATCGATTCCACGTGTGTGTTGCAGGTCGCCTTCGACCACTGCGTCACACTCGCCCTACTTCAACGCATACTATCTTTAAATCACTTAAATGTCAAAGTCTGATTGTAGCGCTTATCATGGCAAATGTCAAAGTCTGATTGTAGCGCTTATCATGGCACTTTTTCCGCACAGTATTAAGTATCTTAGACACATGTGTGAAAACTGAAATTCGAGAGATCGGCTGTCAACTGGCTGTGTTGGAAAAACGTTCATCACTCAATACTTCGTGATGGAAATCGAAGCAGGTTCTGAACGACGACAGAAAGTTCGCTTTCTCTGTCGACATATTGCATTACAAATCGGCGGTATACATAAAGGATGACGCATTAATCACTGAACAAAACCAGGAGCTTATGTTAGAAATCAGTTACACTAAAAAATACGATTAGATCAGAGGTGAGCTTTCACTGAAGACGGCTATCTGAATGCTGATAATATTGAGCTACGTGGTTTACGACGCTTGCTCGTTGCGATCCCAGGGAACATTCAGCAACACTGTCGCCCAAACCTTGTCATGACGGTGCAAAAGGGAGATGCCACTTGAAAAGCATAGACCGTAGGAAGAATTCTTCTCAATCCAACGCACCGACGACAAAAGTGGCTTTTTGACACCTTTCGATTACTAAAGTCCTCAGAAGACTGATAAAAGAGATTTTGAGCTATCTCTCAAATGACATAACAAATTTCCAAAGATCCCTTTCCAATTTTACATTTAAAAAGTCTTTGTGCAGCGAACTCCTCAGCGATCCCTAACGGCCGCAATTGCATGTGCTGACGACCTAGGAACGGCATTGGACAGCTAATTCGGCTCTCTAGGGAACTTCGCTCTTGAACAAAGCTTCGGCATTTCGTTACTTTTCTGCACGTCTTCAACGTAAAGGGAGTCACCGATCTTTGTGGATCGGGGAGAGCATTACACAAAAATGCTTGGCGCTAATATGTCGACCTCCCTAAAGATGAGAGTCTGGGTTGTTCCAGGTGAAATCGAATGGGCGACCTTGTGTCTTGCTATCCTAATACATTCGATACATTAACCGATGTATCAAGTCAGTGTTTTTATACATCCAGCAAACCTGGTAGCAATTTGCCTATTCCAGAAAGAAGCCTTGGTCCACTCGGCGCACGGAGTGGAAACAACGGTCATGTGTATGTGTCGTTTTCTTGCTCAGCAATCGCGAGGTTTTTAAACAGCATACATTTACTTCCATAAAGAAAACACAATACAATACAACGCTAGCTGACGTTTCGGCAGTATCGCCTTCTTCAGAGCCTGGAAGGGTATGCTGATATACAATCTACTAGGCCAAACGCTTCAATAACACTTACAAAAAGACGAAGAACTCTTTGGTAACTACACGATCAACAACTTCTCGAAAAACCCACCGCTTTTTTCGTGACTTCCAATGAGGAAGTTTAGAACAGCTGATTATAGTCGCATGTGGTTGACGACTGCACCATCCCACATCAAAAATCGATGCGAACGTACGAGATCAGGTCGCGTATGATCTCCGGGCATTCATCCCTGATATTCATTGTAGGGCTTTTGGCATTGATCCAAAAAGCCTCAAGGAGTTTTCGCGCTGGTGTTTTGGACTCCTGTGCAAGGATNAGGCACTCCTTTAAGAGAGCCATTAGCTGCTGGATGGACAAGCCATGCATATTTATTCTTCCTTCATGTTTAACAAGAAGTTCGAAGATGGCTTGCATTGCGGAGTCATTCGATACGTTGGTGTACAGTGCGGTAACGTCGAAAGACTCCATCACGTACGCGTTATTGGGAGACGCGTTACGTAGACGTTCCAGGAACATTTGGGTGTTTGTGAGGTGGGCTGGAATGTGGTTAAGCAACTGGGTGAGTATCAGGCTTAAAAACCAGGTTATTCTATCCGTTGGCCCGTCTACACAGCTGATGATCGGTCTAACCTTAAATGATGACGGATAGGTTGACGCATGATCATCAGGTGATACCAACTTATGTGTTTTAATAAGTAGGTATAGGACGGGACATGTTGGTCTATCGATTTTAAAGTGCGAAATAACCGATGATTTAACCGATGGTCATGTGTATATTTGGAAGCACCTCTAGTAATTTCACTATATGTACTTCTACTTCAATACATACATGTATATGTACATATGTATAACTAGTGATAATGGTATGGCATATCACGATGTCAACAGATTTCCCCCACTGAGAAATCACAAGTGGGTTACTGGTGAGGAAGCGTAGCACACCTCGAGGTGGCGGATGGGGTTTAATCGCAGACCAAAAGCAATCTCGCGCTTTCATGAGATGCAGATGGATCCAAGACAACGAATTTTTGTTTTGGGTGAGCCGACTTGACACGTACCTTTTGTGTCCAGGAAGATATTTATGCGTTCCTGCGTGGGTGTGTTCTCATCTGTGCGGACTGTGTTGTACGGATCAAGGCGGCCAGAAGTTTGCAATCAAGTGACAGGGAAGTACATGGGAGGCGGTTAGGAGTTACCTCTAACAAATAAATTTTCCCATTTACTCTGGAAGAGACCCACGCTCACTACTCAGGAAACTACGCTTGACTATCAAAAAGCCAAACACACCAAAATAAGCGGGCCTCATTCTCCCGAGCCCGAGAGAGCTCCGATGCGACAGCGTACGGAGAGGCTGTCGAAATTTCAGAGCCATCCTATGCTGCCTAAATCTGGAAAAAATAAAGTGACAACCTTTACCTAAGACCCACCGTTCACTTGAATCTGAGCCCTGCGTTGAGAGCCTGATGATGCAGATTAAAAGGGTAAGGTACAACGTCACCAGGCCAGCTGATACAAGATGACGGTAGTTTAACGTCGTCTAGAGCCAGCCGGAGGGTCTTATGACATTTCTGTGTCCGAAGCATTGATGCCAAGATTATCTTGAAAAGAATGTGGTGCTTTAACGACGAGAAGTGAAGGCAAGCCGCTTTGAATGCGGTCTACATGTTTTCTTCATAATGAAACTAGAAAGGGATGCCTTCCGTGCCCCTCGAAAAAGCAGGAGCAATTAGCTTAGGACGCAGTAGGAACATAGTTTCCGGCGTTGAATAATCTCTGAGGGATGCGCCACGTATTCAGCTTCATGGAACATCGTCAGAGATGAATGAATGTATTTCTGGTCCATACAATTGTAGTGGCTTATCGATTTGACAAGTCAGTACCTTTATCCAGCCAGACAAGCCTAGTAAAAATTTGCCAACCCCGGCGAGAGGATGGGTTAAGTCCAGGCCGCAGGATCGAACCAGCGACCAATTGGGTTTAATAAGGCATCTCTATTCACTGTAGTACATGCACGCCTGATAGGAATCTCTATATTACTGAAAGAAAAAAGGTGATAAAGACGATACCAGAGACCAGGTAAATGTATATTTATATAAATTTAATTTATGCTCATCGCGAAACGTATTAACGACAGAATGAGTTAATAATTCAACGATGTAGAAGCATAAGAAGGGTCCCGGAAATTGAACAAGCAAAAACTTTAACAAGAACAAAATAAAAAAAGACCAGAGACAAGAAATAGTTACTGAATTCACCAGAAGAATTGGAGAAAAGACAAAAACTCCCGCATATTTTGGAACAAAGAGCAACAACAACAACCACAGCGGAACACCAACAGATTTCAGCATTTGTGAAATTCACTCCGCCAACTTCGTTCCTTTTTTCACAACAGGAGGATTCCGTAGTGCTCCACGCTTGTTGCTGCCCTGTGAAATATTTGTAAGGATAATTGCAACTGAAGTAAAACAGAAAACGCCAACAAACTTCCTCGGATTTGACTTAGACCATGCATGCTAATAAGCAGATTTTACCTTTGTCACCTTCGTGTCAGGTATTTTGACAAGTCTTTCGCTCTTCTTAATCACAGGTCGATTTTCCGGATGCTTCACTTTGTAGATGCGAACTAACCAATTTTCCGAGGTATACGCCTCTTCAATGTATTCCAGAGTAACATCCTGAATGAAAACATTTCCCAAATAGAAAACAATGACAATAAATGCCACAAAAAGGTCTTCACTAGATAACAAAAAAACTTCTTAGGTGATAGATTTTATCAGCCGAACATAATACCGCGCCTTGTCCACTTTTCTTATTTCTAAATGCACACAAAAAATTGCGAGATTACTACAGAAATATGAAAGGATTCACAGCGTTACTATACATTTTACTCGAAAAGGAAAACTGTCAAACCTTCTTTCCAATGACATAGCCACGCGTTCTGTCAAATCCCTCTTGATTATAACCCAATCGCAGCTCCGCAAAGCGATAGTATGACATCTTATACATCAAGCAATTTAGCATCGTTTCAGATGCCCCTCCTCCCACACTATATTCGCCCGATTCCGTAAAATAGTTACTCTCCTAAACTGACTTTTTTCTTTTGAGAACAATATTGGTTTATAATCTAACAATGTATACACAAAACGCAAGAAGCACGATTTCATATATGACTACCAGAAAGAAAACCAAAAAAAAACCTTAATCTCTTTTGGATGTTCGCCTTCGGCAATTCTAACCATCCACAAAAACTTGTTGATGTCGTCCCCGGAATAGCCGATAACTCCGCCAAAAATAATAAGTACATAGTCGACATCTAGCTCACGCATTATCTCATAGGCCGCCGGCTCACTAGATGACATCGCCTTACCAACCTTAAAAAGCTTTAATTCCTTAACAATGACTTGCACATACACCTCTTTAGGTAGGAATATTTACAGTCATATTGAAAAAAAACAAGCCTCTCTTAAGTTCAAAACAGTTGTCAGACGTTTCGATAAATATAAAACTAAACAACGTAGATAGACAAGACATTTCACACGTACCGAAAAGCAGAATTAGAAAAGTATACATACGTATATATATATATACTGTATATGTACATGTATATACGTATATACATATGTATGTATATATACATATACATACATATACATATATACATGTGTATGTGTATATATACATATGTACATGTATATATATATATACAAGGAACGAGGAAGGAATAAAAGGAAAAGAAACTTTCGTTAGACGTCGGCATGACTGAGCGATATTTTCTTAGATGATTAAGTTAACACGAGTTGTTATAAAAGCTTTATTCAGCTATGAAGACCTACATCAAGATAACGAACTGCACCGGACAACCGACTTCGATAGTCGCATCTCTACAGAAGGCGAAGGCCGGCATATATATATATATATATATGCAAGCGTATATATATATAATGATTATGCATGTATATCATCTCCCCAATGGCTTAGTTCCCAATGCGGCTGCAGAATGATGACGGTTGGCCGACCGCCACATGTGGCGTTTCTATTACGAAGTTAAGAGCGAGAAAATACCAAAAATCACAGCCGTCCTGGCACCCACTACTCGCAAGGTCGCAATTTTCTCTTGATCCCGCGAGCGAATTCTTATGATGACGACTTGAGGAAAAGACCAGTTAGGCCAACCCCGGGATTTCAGGGAACTACGATTGTTAAACCAGAAAATAAAATTTCTGTCCTTAGTATTCCGTACACTGGGCGCTGCCGTCTGCGATCAGTTGCTGAAACAGGCGATCAAATCTCGAATTGCACAAGACGTCACTAGAACAGGAGCAAATGAGCACGCCTACGGCACACAATGAAGACTTTTCTTGTTCTTTACGTATAACATCAGAACGACTTCACAGACACCAAGTTCCACGCTCTTCTTAAGGTCTCTAGTTTTCTATGCCATCGCACTACGATAGATGAAAAGCAGGAAGACCAACATAAAACAAATAGATAACGTGCCCTCACTATTTAGATAAAAAATTCCCTTGAGAAATGTTGGTGGCGTTGGTTTTTTTGTAAGCTAACTTGCCTCCAAACAATTACTCATACGAGATTCTATTACCTCACTTGGACAATCTGTCTTCAACGGCGAGAGCATCATCAGCTCCTACTTACCAAGCTGCCCCACTGATCAGAACGAAATTGATGCTCTCTCTCACCAAGTGCAGAAAGATGAATACATGCCTCTTCCATGGTAAATCATTCTTCAAGAAAATAAAACATCGCCGATGGAAATGGGAGTTTCCCAATGACGTGACTCATATGGAAATCGACTGTATTCTCGTAAACAGAAGATTATAGCTCTTTGACACCTCCGTAGTGCCATCACTCTGCACTTGATCTGACTACCGCCTTCTCCGTACGAAGATTCAGGCGTTAGCTGGAAAAGCCAGGAAAAACAAAATAAGACGTTGTGACGAAGATATCCTCAATTGGTTCTTCCCATATGAATTGAAGATATAAGAAAACGAGCAAGGACTTAAAGTATTTGTCTGAACTCTTAGAGTCTGTGCCGAACTCGAGAAGTTCAGTCCGCATTTCCTTTACCACTAAGGAGTTGCCTAAAAACGGAAGCGAATCGAAGCTTGATGCCACTGCAACAAACCTATCAACACAGCTAACAGCAAATTTCGGTGTAAAACATCTTTGCCGGCGAACTTAGATCTATACAAGAAGAAAAGGAATAGTTTCAAAAAGTACAGTCGGAAGCTGTGTTGCTACATTGCCCCACTAACAGTTCTAATGAATGAAGGTAGGACTAACACCACATCCTGCCATTTTATGGAAATGATAATGGAAAGTATAAAAACAATGTTTCCCAGAACCGATGAACCGAGTCGATGGTCCTCACTTGTTATTCGTCTCGACGTGGCAGCTTCGCTTTCGTGTCGAGTCAGATCTTCTTCAGTGATGCCCTTTTATACACGATGCTGATGGTGGATATAATGATAATGTCCGGTGATAACAACTTGTTTTTCTTCCGGACATAATCATCGCGCGCATCGTGCAGAAGCCGGTGTTATTATCAGGTAGCACAAAGTGTAGTAATATTTCGAAACCGACTTTCCTTGAACCTCGATATCACTAATCAAGAAGGCTCACTGAAGAAGATCTGACTCGATACGAAGGCGAAGCTACCACGTCGAGACGAATAACAAGCGAGGACCATCGACTCGGATCATCGGCTCTGAGGAAGACAAAGACGTCGAAACGTTAGCCGAAAATAAACATCATTATCAACCTCATGTAAGCTTATCAAAGAAAGAATACATATTGATTAGTGATACCGAGGTTCAAGAAAAGTCGGTTTCGAAACAATGTTTCCCGTCTAACGATCTCGTTTCGGACCCCGAAATCCTTACTTGAGAAGAACCGCCAGGTTCCTTTGAAGTTCCAGTTGCAATAGAATGAATGATCAAAGGCAAAGCTTCAGGACCCGATAATATCACGTCCCACTTCTTCCGAGAAACTACAATGTACATGTACTCCTCCCAACCAATTCAACATCTTCCGTCCAAAAGGAAAGAATATCAGATCAGTGGAAGGCGTAGCACATAGTCATCTCGCCCAAAAAGGGTAATCGAAGGGATTTTAGTAAATATTGTCTAATTTGCTTGTTGAGTGCATTCTAGAATCTGTTCACAAAGATTGCTCTCTTGCGCATATCGAAGACAGTAGATGAGGCACAACCAGTTGAGCAAGCAAGAATGCGACAGCGATCCTAATGCATGGACCACATCCAAACCATGTCACGTGCTATAGAAACCTGTTGAGAGTATCATGTGCTCCTTCTCCTAACGTTCATCGACTATGAAAACACTGCATCGAAACAAATTTCATCCTATCAACGCTAATCGACCAAGAAGTGGACCCGTCCCTACATTGGAACTTCAAGTAGCGGTTATCGGAACTGCACCACAAAAATAAAATAGAAACACAGCTTTCCTATCAAGCCCTTACCATATTCGTGAAAAAAGGAGTGAGACAAGGAGTACTGCTGCACTGTAGCGGACAATAAGGTCACTCGACCGAGATGAGGACAGTAAACCTCCGTTTTGCCGACAACATCGTCATCTTTTCACGAAGTACCAATGAAGCAGAAGCGATGACCAACTAGCTCAACGAAGCAGGGAAAATTATCGAAATACGCACAAATCGGTAGAAGACGCAGCTCATGAAGAACCCATGGTGGAAAGGTGAACAGATGAAATTGAATGGTCCTGATTGTACAGACCACCAATTACGTTTACCTGGGGTGTCCAAAGAATATGAATAACACTGAAGAGGAAGAATTAGACAGGAAATCAACTTGGGCCACATCCGGATCTCACAAATAAAACCACTTATGAACTAGCGCACCCAAAACGCCGTGCTCACCTTTCCAAATCAAAAACCCTCCTAGCGCTCTTTTACACAACAGAGACGTCAGCTGATATTTCACTTGCGTCAAAAATTCTACGCTTCACACACAGAATGAGTGAACATGTCTTCTAAAATATAACCGGCACGTAAAACATTTAACTGGAATGCGTACTTCAGATCTTTAGAAAAGATCTTATCTAAGAGATCCAGGAGAACATAAATCGATAGCGAAGTACATATGCTGTGATCATACAATAAGAAAAGTAGACGACAAATCGACGAAAAAAACAGTGGAGTGGATTCTAAGAGGATCTAAGCATCTTCTTTTATAAGAACCTACATTAGGGGCGGATGTGCTTATAGTTTATGTTGACCATCTGGATTCGAAGACGAAAAGGTTAATGGAACAAGGAATACATATCGCAGGCATCACCATGTTCCAAGCAGACCACCACTATGGACAACGACTGCGCAAGAAGAACACAAATGAAAATGAAAAATGTGCTAAGGCCCGGACTACTCACAAAAGCGACCCATTCATGAATCTAGCTAAGTACATGCATACTACGTTAGGAGCACGCTGATGAGTGCCCTTTTTATGTCTGCGTCGTAATATCTTGGTACGCTCCTCGCCAACAGTAGTATCTCTAGTAAGTCCTTGCCAGCAAACGTCTCACCATAAGACGACCATGCTTGAAGGAAAAACTGCCACTTGTAAACTATTATGTGAGGGATACATCGTTTCTCGGATTACGCCTGTTAAAACATTTGTCTTGAAAAAACTTAAATCTATAAAAAAAACTTTGCATGACGAAATAAACACCAGAAAAGGAAACGATTAATAATATGGACTCGTACAGTCGGTTGGGTTCCATAGCCATTGAATGAGTTGAAGGGAAATACAAAATGTAAATCCTTGGCTTCTTAATTAGAAACACTTTCGTCCAGACTTCTAAGAAACAGAGGAACAGATTAAAAGTCATATAACACGATTAATAACATATAAAAGTTTAAAGCAAGTCAGAAGAATACCTAACAAATAGCAATACACCTTCCTACTCAGGGAGCTACCAAATTCTGCACCTTGTATAAATTTTCAAGACAGCCTGCGAATTAACGTAAAAGTCAGTGCCAGACCTGTTCTCATTTTCTGCACGTTCCTATTTGTAAAAACGTTGACCAACCAAAGCGATGTGTGAATTGTTCCAGGTATTGTTATCGACGAGCGTTGTTCGATTTCCCATTCCAGCGATTTGATAACCATAATCCCACCAAGACATAATTCTAGCATCATCAGCGGTATTTTCTCGTAGCCAGTGGTACGCTTCTCGGAAATCATCCATGATTACCCGATCACTAAAATAAGTAGTGTTGTAGGATCTAGTTATTTCTTTTTGATCACTGTGAAGAACTAAATATAGTACCGTACCCTTGGCTATTAGCGCTCTGAAGCACGACAGATGGATGGGAGTAAGCATTGCTCGTCACATATGTCGCATGAACGACAAACATGAGCAGGAACAAGACCAGCACAACACTGACAATCGATCTGGAGTTGGCTCCAACAGAATCTCCGGCGCTTTCAGATGATGAGGAACTCTGCATTAAAAAAAATAAACAATTACAACTCTGCACTTGTAAAAATATGGGGGAATTTAAGACACCATAAACTCTCATACCTTTGCCTTTTTGGTGACCTTGTCGTACATTTGACGGTCCGATTCTGATTTGTTAGATGACTTCTCATCATCGCGCAAATACCTGTAGAGTCGAGGCAAACCAACGACAAATTATTCACAGTGATTGCAACATTTTTTATTCTTTATATGATCCGTCGTCACGTCTATTGTGCGGATCCCAGAAATTCTCACATTGGACTCGTTTCCCCGCATCCATCACCCACGAAAGCCTTCTAACTTTTTTGCGTGTGGCTTCGGCTACTACTTGAGGATGTTCGTTTCATTTTGAATGTCGTAGAATGCTGGTTGAGTCGATTCTCCCAGGAGTCCTGAGATAACCGTGCTCGAATGTTCCTAATTGGATTGCAGTGATTTTTCCCGGACTGTACCAATTTCCCGACCCCGGAGGGATGGAACGCTTGGTTGGCCCGGTGCGGAATCGAACTAGCACCATGCCTGTGATGACCGACACCATTATACTAGCTTTCCGCCCCACAGGGACTACAACATTAGTAAAGCAAACTTGACAAAATAATATAGGAAATTTTGAAAAAAAAAGACTAAAAAAGGAAAGTGGTGACCAATTAAAGTACAACAGTAACGTACAAAAAGGTATAATATCTCTTACTTTTCAAAGGTGAACGAAAACGCAATTCCCGACAACACACAGACCACTGGAGTAAGCGTTAGCATGAGCCGAACCATAACACCAGCAAAATATACGGCAGACACGGCGTACAAAATGACTAAACATCTTGTTAAGCATATGTATACATGTATAAGTGTCTGTATGTATGTTCGTGTGTATACACACATATGTACCTACATACATATATACATATACATACACATATGCATTCATTGTACCATGTTTATGTGTACATATGTATATATATATATATACATGTATATATACATGTTTGCGTATATGTATACCTACAAATATCTACACATATAGCTGTCAGTACATATGCATATGTATATACCATACAGAGTTGCGTATACTCACATGTATGTGCATTTATACATACACATGTACATATATATATATATATATATGCACATATATATGCGCATTAAAATGATACTAACACATTCGCGATTTCAATACACTTAGACCCAAAAATAACCCTTGAGTTTTGACATTCAACGATATCGAACAGATCCTACTCTTTACTGCCCAACGTTGGATGTTTGCGGCATTCTCGCTTTGATTAAAGCTTTAAACCGTCTAGTAAATATCAAAAAAACAAGCATAAATGTGTTAGAAACATGGTTTTATTAAAACATTTGAGAAAGAAGAAAATATAGAAGATTTACTGAATACGCGCTCGTCGTTCACATTCTTCACACAGTACCACAATCCGACTGGAAACACAGCAGCAGTGATGTGCAGATCAAAGAAAAAAGAGGTCCATGTCGTAGGTTGATGTTCAGATACAGATGCGATGATTGGAATATGGATCTTCAATGGTCTTTTTGAGAGCAAAAATTACCTTCTACTGTAATTCGAACTGACCTTAGCATACCCAGTATCCCACAAGGAATAGAAGCGGCCAGAGAATGGAGCAACGTAACCTAAAGGAAAACATTGGGAATAACAACTACTGACTGCTTTGTATAAACCATTAAGCGTTCAGCCTTCATCACTCCCTGAAGGGCACACCATGCACCCGACTTCGTCTACAATCGTAGAAGTAACTGAATGCTAATCTAGTAAACACAACTATTTGCGGTGGCCAACCGATGCTTCTTGTTCGTGCTGCTTTCTTCCAAAACATATCTGGTACCAATTGGCAGACCTCAGCAGAATGGAAAACCTGGTCAGCCAGAGCCTGAGGATGAACCAGCGATCAATCCAGTGTTTGTTTCAGGGCACATATAACCATCGCTACATGCTCCGCTATAATTTTCACAATCACTGCAATAAATGTATTAACCTCTGTCGTTGTGGCTTGGCCGCCATAATGTTTTAATCTTCACCGTAGCTTGGGCAGGGAATTTCTAGGTCTCCAAGATGCTGGATCCATCATACACCACGACCTCCAAGGCTGGTTTCGATATTTTCCGCCAGAAAGCCAACTTAAGGTAATCGTTCGCTGCACGAGATTTGAGCAAATTTTGATGGTTACTTGCCAAAAAAGTAACAAAGCACATCACACAAAAAGTGTTACGCTCCTCGTGGCTCATGTGCGACTCTGGTGTGCGATGGGGACAAATGGAGCAAAGAGATGTTCTCCTGGTAATCGATGTCTATCGGAACCACACATAAGATGACAGGTCAGACTCGATCAAATCGTGTTGAAAAGAATCGTGTCTCAGGAAAAGTATCTGACCTAATTTAAAAATCTGTTGCAAAAAAAAAATAGAAAAAAAGTGGAGGATAGACAGAGCTAACTAAAAGAAAACCAATAAAGGAGCCCTTTAAAACCTTAAAAGTAAGAACCAATAAATAGAAATGCCAACCTCCCCACACTAAACAAAAGTAAACGACGACGGCAAGGATCCCAACAACAGTCAAGCCTCCCACAAAAAGGGTCATAAACTGCTGACGCGAGACACGGGCACGAGCATATTGCATGGCAGCGACAATCTAAATCACCGTTTCAACGTTATACAGTCAAGAACAATAATGAATAAAAAGGATAAAGCTCTCGGCGTTGATCAATCCCTAAGGGATGTGGCATGCATTCTACTTCACTAAGCATCGCAGAAGGTGACTGATACCATATCTGGCCTTTACAATGACTGGTGGTGACCTATCGATGTATCGCTATGTTCTCAAACACGTCCAGACACGCGTTTAATCCCAGAACAACAGCATGAAATAATGATGAAAGCAAAAAAGAAATATCAACTCCACCTGCAATAACCCGAACACTCCAAAAGCAGGCATATGCTCTGAAGTACGAACTGGTTGGAAACCGACGAATGGAACTTGCATTGATAAAATGGTGGCAAGGCAGTAGAAACTTGTGTATGCCACAAACAAACGTGATGAGTAACGACCTGAAACGCCATATAAATTATTCTAGGAGTATTAAAGATTTGATTTCAAGTAGATCGCAACTGGGGTACAGCGAATTCCTGCTGTGGTGACGACTTGGAGCAGACTTTAGCCAGCCTGACCTCGGGGAACACAATGACCAAACCAGCTAAACTCCGAAGAATGGGGAATATGCTGAGGCCTGGACAGCAAATGAGGATGGGCAGGCCAAATATTCACGTATTTCATAACTTCTTCTTACCTATGACAATTAAGGCAAGGACGTGAAGTGGTATTAGATTGATAATAAAGACATATCCTCCCCATGCTGATACCATATAGAAATACGAAAGCGCACAAAACGTCGCCCACATCACAGAACCAGTCTTCAGCGATTTGACCCAGAGGAAATAAGTGAACTAAATTCACAAAGTCAAGACCAATTAATGATAAGAAACACCTCCGTGTGAACAAAATAACGATATTATGCTTACTTGATACTAAAAAAAACCGGTAGACCGGAAGAAGAGGCATACCTGAAGAGCAAAAATAGCAATGCCTTCATTGTCGTAAGATCCCGCCACTGATCGACTTGTATATCCAGGGGAAATAGCAATAAAACAGGCAGCGAATAAGCCTCAATGAAAAACCAAATATCAAAAAGGAAAAACGAAGACGTGCCGACTTCCCAACAACGTGTTACCCGTTTTTCTACACTGGAAATTTTGAGATCATATTCACCAGCTCCAGCTGACCATAATTCCTTAGTCAGAAGGTACGTCGCGATAGCAGTCAGTCCGGAGAAAGTTGGTGCGAGAAACACGCATATCTCTCTGAAATTATAGAACAAAGTGAGCCTTTTTCTAAACTAATAGTTTCCTTTAGTATGGTAGTCGGGTGTCCAACATAGTAATACTTTATTTCAATCACTGACGCTGAGATCTTTGTAAAACTTGGACCTCAGGTTAGATGTAATTACCTTTCCAGGGACAAACATATTACGCACGGCACACTGAGATCCCCCGTTGTCCTTCTCTCAGCCAGTTTTCTACCTAACGCTACTGTCAGCAATCAACCGTCAACGGGATTGATCTGGGAAGCACAAATCGGAATTGAAATCAATCGATCTGAGGGTATGATGTGAAATGCAACCATCATACCACTATAATGTTGAGATATTTGCAAAACTTGGAGCCAAGGCCAGATCGAACCGCGATTACCTTTCCGGTGACACACATGTTACGCACGGCACCACTGAGGACCCCACTTTGCTTTTCAACCAGTTTCGTTTCACCTCTTTAGACATGACAGCCATGGAAAATCGCGAGACGTTACACATAAAGACGAATCCTCCCAAGAATTTTACTCGGTTCAAGGATTTCTATTCGACTTTTTGCCTTGCGCACTCAGGTTACAGATAGAAGCTTCGATGCACATTAAAACGGTGAATGCTTTGAGAGGCCCGTGGTTTCATACGAGTTTGGCCGTCTCCGTAATAATATTTGTCTATTCTAAAAATAGAACAAAACAGTTATCTCGAAGGAGATAAAGACAGTACCTAATATGAACATGGAAATTAAGCATGTCGAGAATCCAGTGGATTAACCCTGACGTGACCATAAGACCTGGATATACCTGGAAAACTGGTGATTTCAAAAATTAAGAATAAATCCAATAAAACCATAAAGACGCTGAGATATCTGAAAAACTCCGGAGCGCAGGTGACCACGGTGAGGAACGAACACGCTGTTGCCCTTTCCGAGGGTTAACGTGCAATAAAGTTTTCTAACTCCAACTCACAGTTCCTCCGACAATTCTTCCCAGAGGGTACCATGCTCGTTCATCGAACCAATTAAGGAAGTTGTAGAAGCCATTTTGTACCATGTAGTGGGTTGCACGATAGTTGAACCTGAACCTCTTATAACGAAATCTTTCTATCCGCAACATAATAAAAACTGAAAACTGATAGGGAATGGAAACATAAGAGGACAGTACCATGGATCGAACTCGTGGATGATCGATTCAAATCGGACGATGGCGAAAAGTCTTGAAGCGAATCCTACAAACCACGCTAATGACAGGATGGCAAATGTCAGCAGCGACGTGGCAGCTAGGGAGTTCCCACGAAAGAAACCTATGTCCGTTGCCATTGCCTTAGAATAAGAATGCCCAAAAGTCAGCCCTAGAATATTAAAAGTGCCACAATGTATAAATGGATTATTAAACACCTGACACCACTGTCATTTAAGGATAACCTCCAATGGAGCAAGACTTTTGCATTGGCGCAATAACCACTTCAATGTAAGATATAATAAGTAAACATTACAGGTAATCCTATCCTCTGTAGTTAAATCACTTCTACAAGGCCCTTACAACAAATATAGGATGATTTTAGAACTGCGGGTTGTTTAAATGAGGTGAACGTATCTACTAAATGACAAAGTAGATGTGTCGAAACAAATGTACTGCACAAAAAGGGTTATTTTAAAACCTATCAATTGATGGATCGACACAATGAAACAAAACATCGATAGGTAGAGGATGAAAAAACTACTAGGAAGCAACTAAGATCCCCTATATCGTGTCCTTATCTGCTATAGAATGACGGGTTTAGCCAGCAGCTAGCGATGCCTTGAAGTGGACGTGGACGTTGGTTCGATGCCGTGCCGACGGGATCACGCAGGCTTCCATCAGTCGGGGATCCGAAAATTGGTACCAGATTTGTGTGTGGGGGGGGGGATGTTCAAAACACCTCCATCACACGTCGGTAGGCCACCGCAAGTCATTGTAAAGACTTCATCTTACATGCATTCAGTCATCTTCACGATGAATAGTGTAGTCGAATCCATCAAGAACTGATCCGAAAGCTCTATCTGTCATCCTTTATCCCTATGAAACCGAAAACCACACAGACTGATGCTGATCTCCTGTTGAGAAACTTCACAGATCCCAGAACTGAGGATATGCGCCATCAGAAACGGAAACCGTCGAACGAATTGCAGTTGATGAACGGTGCTGACCGTGACCTGATTGCCGTGCCACACGTCATACGCTCCTTTAATTGCATCGTGATGAGACCCATCAATGGGTTCATTCGAAGCTCCATTCGATATTCGAATAATCTACGCGGATATCCCCGATCTTTTGACATTGTTTACTTCTCCATCCCTCATGTACTTGAGAATTCAGTACTAGTACTTGCATGAGTATTGCAGTAATGTGCAGTTTTTGGCATGGAACGTCCTGTTGGATGACGTCCGATGTAATTACAGCAGTACTCCCAGACAGTTCTAAACAGAATTTCAGTACTTTTTTCCGGTCCTGTCAATCACTAATCGTCTTAGTTTCTGCTTTGTTAATCTTGGTTTCATGTACTCTTTTCATAGAAGTACGTATCGAGTTCATCTGACATAAAAATTGAATTCGTTCACAGTTTTTGGGCTTCATGGCCTGCAGAGTTCTATTTCTAACTTCGGCAGATTTCTCTCGGTCCAAGGGCGCTTGTGGCGCAGTGGTCAGAGGCGCCCTGCGATGCAAACGTGGGGTCGATACCCGCACCCGTTGCGCACCAAGCCTTCCATCCCTACGAGGTCGAAAAATTGGTACCAGACTTGTTTGGGAGAATAGCAGCACTGGCTCGATGCATCGGTAGACCACCGCGAGTTATTGTATTGTAAAGGCCAGATGTGCATTCAGTCTTCTCCAACGATGCTTAATGAAGTTGAATGCATAGCGCATCCTTCAAAGGTTGATCAAGGCCGAGAGCTTTATCTTTTATCCTTTTACTCTCTGTTCATACCGTCACGTTCTGGCCTCCTTCCTTCCTCATTTACTGTGTATTATCGCATTAACTAATGTACAGTCTTTATTTGCGACGTTTTGTTAACTTACATCTTCGAGAACATTATCGAATAACCTTTACCCAGGTGTTGAAAACACGTTTTTTCTTTCCAACACCAGTCTGGTCAACTGTGAGAGCAGAGAACAACTCTCAGCGAACGGTCATGTTGAGTCATAGTTTAGTCATCATCGTGTTTTTGTTTAGTTTCGTTTGTGTCCGAGTCTTCATCGGGTCTCTAGTTCGTCATTGCTAAATGCTTGGTATATTTCTATCTTGTGCCAAATCCGTTGCTATTGAACTGGTTCAGAAATGTCGCCTGTTTGGTTGACTTTACTGTCATCCGTTCCTACACCTTTTCTTTTTTCCATCCCTATTTCCTTCTCTTTTCCTTTTCTGTGCTCAAAGTATTTCCAAATTTGGATGAGGCAGATGTTTGAGGAGTCGTGGATTTGTAAGCTGTTTAAAACTAATGCTCGTGTTCGCTGAGCCGATCAAGCAACATGGGGGTCAACGGAATTTGGGAGCACATGCATAAGTATGCCCAACATATACCTATATCGACACTAAGAAACAAAACGCTAGCCATCGGTATGTTTCTTACGGTTTTTCTCTAAACAGCCGTACCATTGCTGACTAAAAGTTTGCTTTTTCATTTACAATATATAATCTTTTAGCTATCCTTACAGTGTTTATAGTAAGCCTAGCCACACTATGTAACAGGATGTGCAAGAAAGAAATCAAATGGTTTAAATGAAGATTGCAATGTTAACTCTTTATTTATTGCCTTTTTATGTTTTCATGGCAGAGTATTATGTGTGATACAACCACAATGATGCTGAGATATTTGCAAAAGGCGGAACGAAAGACCCGCATGGTGTAGTGGCAAAGGCTTCGGAAGGGGTAATAGCGCGTTCAATTCCCATCGCAGACACCTGCGGTTCGGTAACTTGATGTTAATTTCCTGAGCCAAAAAGTTGTGGATAGAACAACCCTTGGGAACAGTGGTAAGTGGAGAGTTGTTACAAAAGGAGTAGGTAGTAAATCCATCACATCAATCGCAGAGCGGCTTTGCCGCTGATAGATTTGCCAAAGAAGATCTCGTTGTTGCTCAAGTGATAGAATGATGAGAATCTTGGAGGAAATGTTGCACTGAATGTGGTGAGTGAGTGTCACAAGCATGAATCCACAGGGAAGGAATTCGAAAGTAGAACACTTACGAAAACTGGAAGTGCATTAGTTATGGAGCAATGCATGAGGAAAAATTTGAGGCGGTCTTCTGGGTTACGATTTGTTTTGCTCAAATAGGTAACTTCCATGAGCAGCCCAAATAGTTGGAACTACTTCACGACACGGTTTCATTGCAGTTTCTCTCCTCTTCCGCTCGATATTTGTTCATCGTTTTGTTTTCATCGTATCCCCTTGCCCATTTCCAAAGGCAAAATATTTTCCTGTAGCAATATATCGTACAATTTCCTACTTAGCCTTGTACAAGAGTAACGGGGGTTTTTATTGCCCGTGATGTCATCTAAGATTCTTTGAGCGCTGTTCGGAAAACTGAATGTTTAAACAGTCACCGTAGTTACTAAATTCATCGTTTATACAACTCCCCTCATAAGACACGTGAACGTGCATCTCTCATAGGAACGCTAAAGAAGATTTGATAGTGTAACAGTGTACCAACATATTTGTGTATTTGAGGATAACAAGAGTTTTTTTTATAGTCCTGCTCTTTTCGAGACTTGGAAGAAACATTTTCCTATTCAGATGGGCACATTTGGTTGTATGAGTCGTCTCGTGGTTGCGCCAATCACTTTGCCTCTGGAGCATCATACCTGGTTACGTTTTTCAATCGAATTCAACGTCTTCTCGAAGTAGGTGTTCGGCCCGTCGTTGTATTCGACAAGATTACAGCTGATTTTCATAGTTGTGTGAGTTTGTTTCTTAGTTTTAATGCATAGTTACTAGATATGATTTTGTAATGACAAGTTTGCAGTCAACTAATGTAAATTCTTATGTAAAGAAGTCGAAACGTAGTGGTGGTAACGGGTGGAATCTTGATGCACATATCGAGTTAAAGAAACGGGTTTATAATGCGGAGGTAGAGTTCTTCATATTGCATATGTGATATCATCCCTAGCAACTCACGTTTTCATTTGATTCCAGCAACTTTTGAATCATATGGGTGTTCCTGTTATTATGGGTGGTTCAGACGGTGAAGCACAGTGTGCCGAGTTAGAGAGAGCAGGTCTAGTCGATGGCTGTATCACTTCTGACTTTGATTTCTTTTTGTATGGCGGGAGAAATCTTTACAAGGTAGGTTCATATTTTTACTAAGGAAGCTACAATGAAGCATCTACTGAGTTATTTGAGCGATTTCAGAGTCTAACCATAATTTTAATGTTTAGTGTTGAAACACTACCGTAACTTTTTCGTCCACTTTTTATGGGGCAAACTGTTTGATTTCGAAGGGTATAAATATTAACTGGTAGAAGATTTCGTTAAAGTAGAGACCGATAAGCACATCTAGAAAATTAGGGGATAAACAAGATGGTATTGTGATTTCGTCATTGAAGAGTAGTGTAGCTGTGGGTCATGTTTATTAGGTTTGTTGGTTCTTATGTGTTACTCTGGATCAGAAATACTGCTTCATTTAGTACAATTCCTCGTGCGTTATTTTATCTACATTGCATATGTTTCGTCAACGGTAATTCTACTTGCTTTGTGCTTTAAATACTAGATAAATTAAGGGTGTTGACTCAACATCGTACTTTGTGGTTCATTAGTGAATGACTTTACATTCATATTTCCACGACCCATCAGGTGTAAATGTCTTGTGTTACTGCGGTCTTTTTTTTCGCATCAATTTATGGTAGGTTATCATTTCTACGTCCCTTGGGAATTTAGGGGGTTGAGAAAAGGAAAGGAACCTGATTGTTTAAACGCTTAATAAAGATCTTGGTCAAATTTTAAGTCGAGGACTAGTTTGGGAAATTTTTTGTTTTCTGCAAGTTTTCCTTGGAAAAACTTTAGCTACTTCACACCTTTTATTTTCTACATAAAAAAATACTGAGAACATCCTTTTGCTTTGTCGAAATAAGGTCATTGTAAACTGCGAGCACTTTTTATACTTATTTTCTTTCTTATTTTCATTATACGTGTGTGTAACAGTTTTTGATAGTCTGTTTTTCGAGGTGGATTTCAAAAATGGTGGATTGGAAGTTGAAGGTGTAGCAAGTCTGTTCTCGATGGATAAGTTCGAAAGCACACAATGTGAGTTCGGGCTTTCTCTGAACTCTTGTTTTATGTGGAGGCAATTTCTCTTTGTAGAATCCCACATCTCTTGTCTTTCCATTCCACTCAGGTTTAACAAGGAATCGGCTTGTTGCATTAGCACTTTTACTTGGTTGCGATTATTTGCAAGGAGGTGTGAATCGTGTTGGAATTGTCACGGCAAGGGAAATAATTTCGGAGTTCTCAATCAATGACGACGACCATGCGCTGACGATCCTGGATCGATTCGGGTGAGTCAGTTCTTAGGTTTGAAGGTTTTTTTCAATATCGGATCTGCAGTGATGACCAGTGGCTGCAGTACCCCTGCAATATTTTGTACAGCTTCTGTTCGTGTTCTTAACTTGTTCAAGTTTGCATAGTAGCTGGTCGTCTTAAATTAACGTTTCGTCTTTAATATGTTCTAAAAAATTATTTTGGGGATAGTGCAGTGGTATCGATGCCATTTTAATGTATATGAAATCCTACGCAATCCCATCCCTGGTATCGACCAAGCCTCTGATCCTAACAGAGTAGAGGAACTGTTGCCAGACATGTCTAAAACTCCACCCGAACCACATGATCTAGGAGCGTCTGGCACAGCAATTCCAGGATTCCAGAGAAAACCAGCTCGACCATTATTTAACGACGTTCATTAAAAATAGGTTAAGAAATCTCAGGGAAGTGCAGGACTTGTGAGCAAATACGAAGACCTTCGTGGATGATAGGTGCAAGGAAACGAATCGAATAAAACAAGTCTTGGGATCCGCACAGTAGCTGTGCTGGGGTCTTCCCATGTGGATTAGAGGGAGTAAGTTTCTTCAAGACAAGTTTGGTGCCAATCATTTCTCCAATCTCGGAAGGATGAGGAGCTTTCTGAACCGAGTGCGAGCTCAAACAAGCGCCTGGGCAGATTGGGCAGTCCACGTAATGAACGGGACCACTACCATTCCGCTACTTGCTCCGTTATGTGGAATAAGATAAATAAAAATGATGGAACGTTTCAAAACTATTCTGAATTATTGTCACAATGTTTGTTATCCATGCTTTATATTCCGCAATAAATTGTTTTTCAGTGGTAGAAAATGATATAGTCCGTGAGCATTACATAAACAAGTGCACATAATATTATTGTGAAAGTTAAGGAGTTATTTTCGTGGAGAAATTCCTTCGCGTGTGAGTGATAGCAATGTCAAAAAGAAGTTACGAAAGGCGAAGATCGTACTTCCGGAAGGCTTCCCAAATGCTGACATTTTCATGTGGGTTTTCGACACCTAAATGTGTACTTGTTTTTCAACATGTGATTCGTATTTTAGCGAAGTTACTTCGGTATACCTTTGTCCTGAAGTAAAAGAAAAGAAAGAGTTACCCGTTGTTACTCGCAATATGGCTAAAGTTGAGGTTGGAATTTCTCTTTTGTTACATTTGTCATTGACACAAAATTCCATTTCTCAATCTTTCCTCTTTCTTCATTAACTATTCGTGCCGTCTATTTAGGCACATATTTCGTAGTAGTTTCAGTTAAAAACGATTTTGACACATACATCCCGATGTATGTTTATTTTAGCTGGTGCCTTAGGGGCAGAGTGGCTGTCGTAAATTGATTATAACTCATAGGTGTCCGAAAATATTTACATATTTTAACTTTAAGCAAACGTATCTGAAATCGTCGTAGACCTCCATCGAAGTAAAGACCAGCGGAATCTGAAACTCTTTAGCAATAAATTACAAGATTTTCTGTTCTACATTGTAGTGGTGTAGTCTTTGGAACACAATGGTCATATTTCGAGCAAAAAAGCGAGTAAACAAGCAGATTTTGTTCACGAATACGTCTTCAATATGTGCGTTTGCCACGGTTGCGCTGAAGTTCTTAAAGGTTATAATTTCGTCTCGAATTTTACGAAAGTTTAAATATTAAAAGAAAGTGAAAATAACATCTGAGGGAGGTTGTAATAACTCTCTGGTGATAGAGCAAAGTCCCTCCTATAAGCCTATTAAACATGGAAAAATAAGTGCAGCCGCCCGAAAGTAAGCGTTTTATGCGATAACCAAAAAAGATTGCGCGACTTTCTGGTAATTCGTATATCACAAGTTCTTTAAGGTGTAAATGTTCATTTAACAAAAGAAAATCTTTTTTCTAATTTTATTCCAGAGTATTCTAATACGAGAATGTGGGTGGACACCAGCGCGTTTCACACAGGAGATTCAGCGCAGCAGAAGAAGAAGCCAAAGAATCCAAAGCATAGTCAGTGTACAGTTTCTGTTTTGAATCAGTTTTAATATGTAGAGGTTGTCTTACTATTTGCTGCTTTCTGCCACGAATGTCGTTTAAGTAGTAGTGTTTGACGAAACGTGTCTCTATGGTAGGCCACTATTATCCTACATACCCTATTTTTTGAGCTGACACGTGGTTGCTAGAAGGTTATCTGACGCCGAGGTTAATCCATAGTCTATCTTTCGATTTTTGGTACTCGTTAAATGTTGCGCTTACTTACGTTGCTGTAATGTTAAATACGTGTGGTTGAATTTATTTTATGACGTACTGTTTTACTTATCATTTCAGCAAACACATAAAATCACGGATTTCTTTCCCACCATGCGCCGATCGCTCTCCACTTTTGCTGTTTCCTGTGGAATTGACGCACAAAAGCATAGCAGGCGGGAATGGGCTGCGCTACAGCGGCTGCGAGTGAATGCGAAGCTTTACGAGAAAACCGAAGTTCGTTCACCTTGATCACATGTCTTCTCATGAGTAGTGCAGTTTATCAATTCAGGTAGCAATGGAAGATTCTAAGGTGTGTGCTAAATCAAATGGAACTCATCGGAGAAGCATAAAAAGGTGTGTATAACTTTGTTAGGTCACTCGGCCAGTGCTTTACGCTATTTTAGGGTTGCCTCGAATGTACATATTTGTGCACAGTTCCATGTTTCAGAGTATTAGCAGAGGATTCGTTCAGTTGCACATCCTCCAAATGTAGACGAGTTGAAAATTCAACTAATTCGTCTGTACAGATTTTTTCAAGTTGAGTTTATGAAAAAGCTTGCCTAATTTACACAACGACTGGTTTGTTACGGTGTTTTGTCAGTTTTTTCCTATTTTCTTATTCTAGTACAATAGTTGCTATAGAACGAGTAGTTTTTAATCTTACTTTAACACTATAGGATCTGGTTTCCTATCCACTAGTTTCTGCTGAACTTTAAAAATTTTTCGAAGCTTTTAATGTCCACTTTTTTTTCGCTAACGAGGTATACCAGTCACTCTGTCTATAAACGGTTACATTTTTCTTACTTGACGTTTTTTTGCTCAGAATGCTACAATATGCTCTCTGTTCTTATTCTTACTATCAGCTTTACGCTAGCTTGTTTATACAAGAGTTGAATACTGTCGATATATCTAGAGGTTTATAGGTGTTGATCGAAGAATATATTTGTTTAGTTGTCTTTTTCTTTGTTTCCTAACAGTTCAGCTTTTACGTGTAGTGTTGTTTTCCTCATCCATTGGAGAAGCGCGATTCAGAAATTTACGACTAAGCCTATATTGCAAAGAACCTTATGATACTTATTCTTGTGCTACTCTTTTCCACGTATTTCCTTTCTGCTTTTGTGCTAGTTTGAATATTCCCAGTTTCGAATAATTTATAGAAATGAAGAATTTGCATATTCTGCACTCTATTTGTTTGGCGTTCTTGCGCCTGTATTTCTTAAATTCCGACTGCCGTAGAATTTTAGCCGAGATTTCCAGACTTTAGTTTACTTGGAATGCTTGCTCTACAAACAACAACAGCGTCGACTGAGAACGATGATCAGGTATGCTAAAAATTTATTGTGGTTCAGAGTTAATTGTTTCTAAAATTACTGGGATACTTGGATGACCTGCCCTTACTGGTTGTGCGAGCCCCAGCATAGTCTCCATTTTTCAGAGTTTTGCTGGTTTAGCCACTGTGGTTCGCTCGAATCCCGAGATCAGCCAAGCCAAAGCCTGCCCCAGGCCGTCACCACCACAGGCAGTAACCGCACTTGTGGATTAGAGGGATATTTGCCACCATTAGACTAGTTTGAGGACAGTGGTTAATCCTGGTATTGGTTTAATCTTAGCTGGGTTTCACAATGGGAGACGCCATACTCTTTAGCGTGGGAGACTTCCCCGGGAAGACGAATCCCACCGCTGTACACCGCAACCCTACACCCAGGAACACCTCTCAGCTACGATGAGGCGGTAAACCGTTGGTAGGATTTATGAAATTTGTAGAAAGAAATCTCACTTTTGTGTTCGATTCAACCTTTTCAATTAATGTTGTGCTCAATGGCAGCTCTCTACGTTTTAGGTTCTTGTGGATGCCTTACCATATCTTGACACGGAATATAATGACGCAGATCGTCAGACAGCTCTGCGGTTGATTGACCAGGAATGCAAAGTACTAGCCATATATATTCTCTTTAGTGGCATTCCATTTTCATCTGAAAACTACTTGTTTACTCCTTTGAAAGAAGGGCCCAAATTCTGCAGCCCAAGTATTCTTACGAGATTAGATCATACTAGTTGATTTGAACTTTCATTAGTGGCACACTACTTCGTTTTTATTTTAACTGCAGTGCTCTTCGTTTTGAAGATTTCTTATCATAATATTTTGTAGTATTGTATTTCTTTTCCACTCTAACAGTACTTTTTCTTTGAAGATTTTCCGTCCGACGAAAAACTATCTAAGGCATCTTCCCGTGCCCGATTTCGATGTTTTTCTTACTCCGTGTATGCTCAAAGAACAAGCAAGGATGTCAAAAAAACAAGTAAGTTCCTCTCTTCCTTTTCTCGAACTGTTAAGTGATTTAGAAGAGGACTAAGTAGTGTACAAATTATTTAAGTATATTTTAAGGAGATGAGTAAGTTGGATATGAGCCGTTGTGAATTGCCATGCCCGTCTGGTACTTCACGTGCTGGTGATAAGGTTCAGTGGAGGAAAGTAAGAACAGTTTTCAAGTGTTATATTTTTGCGGCTTGAAATCGTACTGTATATGATCGTGATTCTTTAGGCTATTAAAAATGCTAAGGCGCAAAATGAACATCTTGTAACACGCCAGATAAATCTTGAGTTAATGGAAGAGTACGCTGCAGAAAGTTACTTGCGAAGAAATCGAGAACTAGAGCAGTTGTGTACAGAAGCCGAGCGGGAACTCAGACGTACTAAAGAAGAAGTGAGCAAATTTTGGTTTTAATTCATGAAATAGCTGTTAGAAGATGATGGACAGGTGATGGAAATTCACGCCAGGCGTAAAATGGCTCAGTTAGATGCAGGTCGTCAGTTGAGAGAGCTGGAAGGAAGTTGGGTGGCAATGGTGACCAACAATTACAGGTGAGTTCTTCTTACGTTTTCTAAAGAATTATTATTTTGTTTCTCCCAATTCTAGAATGGAACTCGCCAACAATCAGATGGCTATGGCTAATGCTCAGATGGCTAAAAGACTTCGACTTGATCCATCTGCATTGGAGCAACTTAATTGACTCTCTTTTATAATTGAGAAGCGTTTGTTTCTTACAATACAATGTGTTATAAAGAGTGCTTGTATCCTTTGTGTTCTTCCCAGGTACTTTTTCTTCGTTTTTCCTCGCTGACGTTCATTGTCATGGCAAATTTCAGGCTTTCATTGGTTGTAATGACTCTGTAAAGGTACGTCTTTGGTCTACTCTTAGTTTTTAACAAGTAACAAAACTGTGCGATCTCATCATTGTGGGAATACGATTCCTGCAATTGTCAACTATGGCGTCGAAGTTCGTGATGATTTTCTCTTTCTTATGCCCACACTGCAGTTCATGAATCCATGACATTTCTTTGACGTGAACTTCACACTATAAGAAAGAAACTTGGTACTGGCTAAGTGAAGAAGGTTGTTAGTGCGTATATTGTTCCACTGTCCTGTCTGGTTTGACCCTAATAGGAGAAGCGGATTTTTCTGCACAGAGAAGTTGGTTAAAACACCCTAAATATCAGATAAACAGACAATCAATTTAGACCATTTATCTGGGTGTGGAAGTAGATATGATGAATTGCATAATTCTAAGGCGGCGTAGAAGAATGTGGGCGATAGGAAGAAATCATAAGGAGATTATGTTCGTTGTGCGAGAGATATGGAACAGTCGTCAGACCCCTTCGTCAAGTAGGCAAGATGATTTTGAATGCCCTGTTGACAGTTTAATGACAGGGCGTATTCTTTTTGCTAGTGGAAAGAGTGGAGTTCGGTGTTCCTACGCACGTCATCGGTTGAAGCTTGTAGACATTGCTGCACATGCGAAGAGATTAGGAATCCCGTGATCTGAACAAATGTTGAATTCTGACATCAGCGGATGGACGTAGTCCGTTAACGGTTATGTCACACTAGGTGTAAGACGCACACGATGACAACCATCCACCTGCAATGCTTAGAATATTTTGCGAATCGGAACAAGATACAGTGCTCTTTGCGTTCGTCGAGTAAGCGAAAAAGAGTAATTTTGGTACGCGACAATGCCGAACGACAGTTCATATCCGAGTTCGTTGGTGGTTAAAATGGCTGATGAGGTGCTCCATGCACAAGAATCTTTAGTTTTGGAGCACCCCAACTTGTCTTGTGCCATTACGCGTGTAGAACCTCGCCGCTGTGTTTATTAAAGGATAAAAGGATACAGTTCTCGGTGTAGATCAATTCCTGAGGGATGTGCCATGCATTCGACTTTATTAAGCATCGTTGGTGGTGATTGAATGCATATCTGGCCTGTCCAATGGCTCACGGTGGTCTACCGATGTATCGAGCCAGTGCTGCTATCCTCCCAGACTAGTCTGGTACCAATTTGCCGACCCCGGAGGGATGGAAGGCTTGGTGGGCCATGGGAGCGGGGATCTATTCCATGTGTGTGTTGCAACGGAATGTGTAAATTAGAGTTTTATTCTATGTAGACGCGTTTTCTACAGTTCCAAGGGTCTGACCGTGGAGAATAAGTTATCACTTGGTGGTTCGTGCTAATGGGATTTGAATCAGAATAGTATGTCATGCAGGGGGTTTTTTTTAAAAGGTGGTGGTTAAAGTAAGATTTCTCATAGCACTTTAAAATACTACTCGATGTGATGTTCAGAAGGATTTTGAAACATGATATCAATAACTGTCAAACTGCCAGTGGCAACAGGAGTGAGTCTAATTGTATTTCACCTAAGTTGGGAAGAAGTTTCAGATTGCAAAGTACTAGAATCCTTACTAAGAGTAAGCAACTGTCAACGGCTTTGAACGGTTATTCGCTTAGTGAAAATTCACTCGCCGAAGCCACAGTTTGGCTGGGTACTTTTCTGGGATTGTCATACTAGGGGTATTTAAAAAAATCTAGAATGAGATTCTATAGTACCAAACCTTCACCAACAGAGCCTAGGTTATACCCAAGGTCCACCACGCCTTTATTCTCTCCGGGGTCTGAAAATTGCTACCACACTTATCTAAGACAAGCTTACACCGTTGAATCCACATGGCTATGCTCTATCATCGTTGTCCCAGAACTTCCATGAAAATCGAAAACACTTTCGTTCGACGACGTTAATGAATAAAAAAAATCGAAGAGCACTCAAACAGGAGCGTTAATTAGAAGCAGAAAAGTTCGAGGACATATGCGCTAAAAACCGACTTTCTTTAAGCATGGGCGTTCTGAATAAATATCCTAACAAACCTCATGTTAGCTCAAGAACTCGGAAACGGCGAATGGTGTTTGCGAGAAAACGAACTGAATGCAAGTAGTACTGGGATCTGCGCAGGATGATGTAGGATTAATTGAAGAAGAAACAAGGAATGTCTTGTTGAGGGAAAATCAGTAAATCCTGGTGATATTTGTGTAAATTAGGAATGTCCGCTAAGGGCTAAGATGTACCAGACTCTTTCTGATCAGAAATGAGTTTTATGTGGTTCACACGGTCATGAAATTAATCACCGAGTTATTCACTTCTGTACGAATATTCGAGTACTCAAGTGATTCTGTGGCCAAAAGCATACTATATGTGTGAGAGTAAAATGAACCAGTAGAAAAATGTAAACAAGGAAAGCTGCACTGATCCAGATCGTTGAGGGTGGTGTTTACGATTCTGCTAATGAGTCATTAGCCGCACATTGCTTACTTGATATTTGGTACTTGAATGGCCCGTTTTCACTGGTTGTGCATGCCCCCGCATAATCTCCATTTCTCGGAGATCCACTGGTTAAGTCATCATGGTTCCGTGGAATCCCGAGGTCAGCTTGGCCAAAGTCTGCCCCAAGTTTTCACCACCACAGGCAGTTGAAGCCCATGTGGATCAGAGAGATTTGCCACCATAACCTTGATACCGGGACGGCGGTGGATCCTGGTATTGGTTTAATCTTGGCTAGGTTTCCTAATCGAAACGCCGGACTCCTCAGCTTGGGAGACCCTGCCAGGGGATGAATCCCCCGCTGTACATCGTAGTCGGACACCCAGGAACACCTCCCAGCCACGATGAGCCGGACGTTAATTAAAAAATGCAAAGGAAAGACAAAGTCCTTAGGCCATACAATAATCTTAATAGTAACTCTATCGCATTAACCACAGTTGCAGTTTTAAAAGTAATAGTCTGTCAAGACTATGATCGATTATTTTCTTCAATAAGCAGACACGAGGTCGAGAATTTATTAGGATACGATAGAGTTTCGCCTTTTTCAGAGCCTGGAAAGGTGAAATTGAGATGCGATCTACTCAGGCAAACACTTTCATAACCCTAGCAGATAAAACTTAACAAATACAATACATTCGCATAAGAAACAGCTTCATTTAAACATTTACCGTTTATTCGTTTCACCTACCGTAGTAAGTATTTCAGTCAGTTGGCGGATAGCAGCCTCACAGAGTAATACATGGGCGAAGACTGTGCCTGTGTCAGGTCATTGGATCAAACTGAGATATGGCGCTAGGTCACGCGTGATGACAAGACACTCCTCCTCGTCGTTCATGTTTGAATTCTTGAATTTGATCCAAAATGCTTCAAGAGTTTTTCAAAAGAATTATAAGAAATATGTTTCGAACCGCTGCCAGCGTGTGCACAGCTAGAGAGCAGAGGGAAGAATCCTCGAAACTGGCGCGCCAAATAGCCATTTCAAACGGTTACGAAACTGTACCTTCTCGACATAGACATAGAGGAGAAACCACACCCAGAGCGATAATTCTAGCGAAAACAAGGCTCCGTTCCTCTTGCCCTTTATTTCAAGCGAAATAAGTGCAGCTATGAAACGTTGCTTAATAAGGGCCGGTCTAGAGAATTCCGTAAGAGTGATAGAAGCGTTTTGGATCAATGCCAAAAATTCAAAAATGAACCGCAAGGAGGAGTGTCTCGTCATCACGCGTGAGCTGGCGCCATACCTCAGGTTAATCCAATGAGCGGACACAGGCACAGTCCTCGCCCATATATAACTCTGTGCGGTTGCTATCCATCAACTAACTTAAATACTCAACAAATAGGCTATGTTTTTACTTCGTCGGTGCTGTCAGAAATTACCCATGAACGGGAATGAGCGGACCAAATCGGTATTGAATCCAACCTCGGTTGGTGTGGTGCAAAGCACGTGAGCTCCCCGGTAAGGGTCTAGTTCAAAACTCATTTAAGGTCCCAAGTTTTGCTCATATTTCAGCATCAGTATGGTTGTATCTCACATAGTATCCTGTTATGAAGAAACGGGTAGGGAGAAGGAATTAGAACTTAATTGCTAATATAACCTCAGTGATGCTGAGACATTTGCAAAACTTCGGACCGCAGGTGTCTGCGGTGGGGAACGAACACGCTATTGTCCTTTCTGACCCTGCTGTTAAAAAAGAATAGGCAGTAAATAAAACGGTTAAGATTTTGATTATAACTGCGGCCTCAGCTTAACTGGGTTCGATGCCGATTTGGGCTCCTCAGATCAATCCCGCTGACATGTGATTGCTGATGGCAAAAGATCGACAGAACTAGCTGAGAGACAAGCGGAACGAATGGCCAGCGTGACGTGGTGGTGAACGCGTTACTCCCCGGGAAGGACAAAAGTGCGTTCGTTCTCCACCGCAGACACTTGCGGTCCGGAGTTTTGCAAATATCTCAGCATCATTAAAGTTTAATTGCTAACGTTTTTTTAAAAACGTCTTTGCAACGCGAATGGATTTTTTTTGAAAATCTTATGTGCTGCTAACCATAATGATGAGCATTTTAAAACCTCAGCATCGTTTCCTGCTAAGTATTATAAAGGACAAGGGATACAGCTCTCGGCGTTGATCAATCCCTGAGAGATGCGCCATGCATTCGACTTCATTAAGCATCGTTGAAGGTGACTGAATGCATATCTGCGCTTTACAATAACTCGCGGTGGCCTACCGATGCATCGAGCCAGTGATGCTATCCTCCCAGACAGGTCCTGTACCTGTACCAATTTACGGAGCACGGAGGGATGGAAGGGTTGATGTGCCATGGGCGCAGAGATGACTCCACTTGTGTGTTGCAGTGGCGCCTTCAA